TCCCTAACACAAAGAATGACACCAGACCCACACTCACAAAAGCCATACAAGATGTCACCACCACACGTCCACACAAAAAGCAAACCCAAACCCACACCGATGATGAGGCATGACCACAAACCAGAAGCCAGACCACAGCTGCATCATTAGCCACTTTAAACCCCTCCAATCCATACATGAAGCAAACTGACACCCACCATGAAGATGAGGCATGACCACGAACGCGGAGCCAAACAATAGCAATGCAGCTCACCATCTCATATCCCCATGCAACTCAGACTAACCTGAGCACAACAAAGCCCCCACCCAAAGAGAACACTGTTCCAACCAATCAGAGCACAGCCAACCCCATCCAATCAGAGCACAGCCAAGCTCCTAACCAATCAGAACACACCTCCATCCAATCAGAACACAGCCAAGCTCTCATCCAATCAGTTCATACCCCCACTGGCAGTTAAAAGGAAGAAACAGCTATGATCACACATTGCTCCTAGAAGCAAGAAGCCGAAAACACCAGCCTGAAGATGACGAATGAGACTTCGTCGAAACGTTGCCAAGACACTTCCAATATGACGTGGGAGAAAACCCGAATAACCAAAGACCTACATACAAACACCCATGAAAACCTCAGAAAACATATATATATATATTCGTAGATTTTCACGGGTATAGGTATGCAGGTCTTGGTGTATTTGGGTCTTTTCCCATGTAAGATTGAGAGTATCTTGGTGACGTTTCGACGAGGTCCCACTCGTCATCTTTAGGCTGGGTCTTCGGCTTCATGCTTGTGCGAGCAAAGTGTGATCGGAGCTGCTGTCTCTCTATATATATTGGAGGGGGTGTGTGGAGTGCTGGCTTAGTTGCTGTAGGTGGATTGGTTGGCTGTGTAGGAGCTATTGTTTGTGGATTGTTTGGCTGTTTCATAACAACCTGAGTAGTTGAGGTGCTGGCTGTGTGACCCTTAGTCTTTTGTGTTGTAACGACCTGGGTAATAGGTTGTGTGATAACATCCTGAGATCTAGTGTAGTGATATCCTGAGTTCTGTATTGCACCATCCTGGGTGGTTGGCTGTGTTGTAACATCCTGAGCTTTGGCGTTGTAGCCTCCTGAGTTCTGTGATATGATGTCCAGGGCTGAAGGCTGTGAAGTAACATACCGGGCTTTGGTTTGGCTTCGAGTTTGCGGTCTAGCTCTGTGTCCATTTGCTTTGTGTGGGGGTTGGAGGGAGGTGCAGCAGCTGGTGATGTTGTCGTGGTTTGGCTTCTGGATGGTGGTTGCATTTTGTCTGAGGGATGGGTTTGGGCTTGGGTTTGGTTCTGGTGAGGGTGAATGGTGGTGGCGTACTGTGTTGTTCTGGGTCTGGTGTCAATTTTCGTGGCTAGGACTCATTTGTTGATTAGGGCTAGTTTCCAGATGTCTGGTAGGCAGGAGGTATCGTCACATTTATTCATGTTGTGGGGGTGTTTTTCTATTTCAATGGCTTCCATAATTATTCTCTTGTTGTGGTGTTCAGTTTTGGAGATTAGTTTGGTTCCTTCAAAATCAATTTCATGTTCTTTAGCTTTAAGGTGCTGGAAGAGGGAGGAAGTTTTTTCTTCTTTTCTGACTGCATTCTTGTGTTCTGCGATGCGTGCATTTATTCTCCTTTTAGTTTGTCCAATGTATGTGGCTGGGCAGATTTTGCATGGTATTTCATAGACTCCTTGGTTTTCTAGCTGGATCGTGTCTTTGGGGTTTCTTAAGATGTTGGCTATTTTTTGGTCGGTGCTGAAGGCTGTCTTGATATTGTGTTTGTGGAGAATTTTGCTGATTTTATCTGTGGTGCCTTTGATGTAGGGGAGGAGGGCGATGTCGTTGTACTGTTCTATGTCTCGGTCCTTGGGGGGGTGTTTCCCTTTGGATTAGGTTGGTAATAGTATTTCTTTGAAATCCATTGGAGATTAATACGTGTGTAATTCAGTTTTCAGGTGGTCTTTGTCGGCTAGGCATTTGGTTCTGGAGATGAGGGTCTTGGCTACGAAGTTGATCTGTGCAGGGTGGTGGTGGGGTTGTGCGATTAAGTAGCGGTTGGTGTGTGTTTTTTTCTGGTAGATGGTGTGTCCTAGGGAGCCATTGGGTTTTTTGTAGATTAGGACATCCAGAAAGGGGAATTGGTTGTTAGCTTCTATTTCCATCATGAATTGTATTTTGGGGTGTAGGCTGTTGAGATATGTGAGTCAGTTGTCCGGTTTTTCTTTCCCATGTGGCCAAATTACAAAGGTGTCATCTACATATCTGAGCCAGAGTTTGGGTTTGTGTTCAGATTTGTCTAAGGCAGCGGTTCTCAACCTGTGGGTCATGACCCCATTTGGGGTCGAATGACCATTTCATGGGGTCACCAAACAACGCAGTCCGCCATTTTTTCCCCCTTTTCCTTAGCTGTACTACTCCCTTTTATTCTATTGGCTTTTGAAAGCCAATAGAATAGACTCTCTTGAATAGAGTCTAATTCTATTGGCTTTCAAAAGACAATAGGAATTGTCCAGGCTGCCTCTGCCCTGCTGAGCCTGCCCAAAAGTCCCATTCTGCAAACGGTGCTGCAAGTTGTCTGCAGTGAAGGCGAGCTGTCTGGAAGTTTCCACCCCTCCCTGCTGAGTAACTACTAAAAATGTAAGTCAGTGGTGGGAGGTGGGAGGCTGGTGGGCGCAGGGAGGGTTGCTGGTGCACGTGGGGCCCGGCGGGTGCCTTACCTCCCCGGTGGTTGGCCTGCGCTGTCTCGACTTACGACCGGTTGGGCATCACGGCATTAAAAAGGTTGAGAACCACTGGTCTAAGGCATTGGTTTTGAAGTGTTCCATGTGTTTGCAATGACGGGTGAAAGGGGTGATCCCATAGGTGCTTCTTCTATCTGTTTGTATCTTTGTCCATTGTGGATGAAGTATGTGTTGGTTAGGCAGTGGTTGGTCAGATCTAGGATGTGCTTAGGGAGGTTATATTTGTTTTGGATAGCTGTCAGGGCTTCTTTGATAGGCACTTGGATGAAGAGGGATGTGACATCGAAGCTCACAAGTAGGTCGCTGGGTTGTAGGTTTTGTTTCTTTATTGTTTCTATGAAGTGGAGTGAGTTTTGTACGTGTGAGGAGATGGATTCTGTGTAGGGCAATGAAATGCAACCACCATCCAGAAACCAAACCATGACAACATCACCAGCTGCTGCACCTCCCTCCGATCCCCACACAAAGCAAATGGACACACGCCATGAACACAGAGCTAGACCGCAAACTCAAAGCCAAACCAAAGCCCGGTATGTTACTTCACAGCCGTCAGCCCTGGACATCACATCACAGAACTCAGGAGGCTACAACGCCAAAGCTCAGGATGTTACAACACAGCCAACCATCCAGGATGGTGCAATACAGAACTCAGGATATCACTACACTAGATCTCAAGATGTCATCACACAACCCATTACCCAGGTCATTACAACACAAAAGACTAAGGGTCACACAGCCAGCACCTCAACTACTCAGGTTGTTACGAAACAGCCAAACAATCCACAAACAATAGCTCTTACACAGTCAACCAATCCACCTACAGCAACTAAAGCCAGCACTCCAGACACTCCACCAATATATATGGAGAGACGGCAGCTCCGATCACACTTTGCTCGCACAAGTACGAAGCCTAAGATCCCAGCCTGAAGATGACGAGTGGGATCTTTAATATATTTTATTAATTGTTTAACAAGCATACGTCACTCAATAATTGGTAAACAGTGTGTTGTCTAGGTTACATTTGTAAAGACACTTCTTAACAATTGATTTCTATAGTCTGTATTCCATATATTAATTTTAGTTAATTTCCTCTTTCCCCAAAACATCCTTTTTTTTCAAACATTGAGCTAATACAATTCTTATTGTTTTAATAAATGACAATTAGATATATACTTTTTCCAACATTCCTAAAAAAAATATCATTATATTAGTACATTTCTTTTCCTTCCAGTCGTTTGGATTGCCTTATCATCAACCCTGTTACAATCCTTATTTTAGTTTATTTCTCCCACCAAATTCTAAATATTCTTATTGGTAAAGGTTTTCTCAATGATTAGTTACATTTATATTGACAGACTTAATTCTGTTTTTTCCATATAAGCCATCTCACATTTTTACATTTCTTAAGTAATAGATAAAAGAGTAAAAAAAGAAGGCAAAAAGAGAAATGAAAAGGAAATAAAAAATAAAAAAGAAGAGAAAAAAGCATTGGTCACCACGATTTAAAAAAGATGCTGAGACTCTAGAAAGAGTACAGAGAAGAGCAACAAAGATGGTTAGGGGACTGGAGGCTAAAACATATGAGGAACGGTTGCTGGAATTGGGTATGTCTAATTTAACAAAGAGAAGGACGAGGGGGGACATGATAGTAGTGTTCCAATATCTCAGAGACTGCTACAAAGAAGAGGGAGTCAAGCTATTCTCCAAAGCACCTGAGGGCAGGACAAGAAGCAATGGATGGAAACTAATCAAGGAGAGAAGTAGCCTAGAACTAAGGAGAAACTTCCTGACAGTTAGAACCAATGGAACAACCTGCCTCCAGAAGTGGTGAATGCTCCAACACTGGAAGTTTTTAAGAAGAGACTGGACAGCCATCTGTCCGAAATGGTGAAGGGTTTCCTGCCTGAGCAGGGGGTTGGACTTGATGACCTCCAAGGTCCCTTCCAACTTTATTATTATACTACTTAGAATATATATCCCTCCTAGATTAATATGTATTTATTTCCTCAAATTTCTTATTCTTTTTAATCATAGTTAAGAATATATTTACTCTTTAGACAATCCATTCAATATGTCTAGCCATTCAATAGGTCTAGCCCTTAACTCTGATTCAAAGCATTATATATATATATATACTTTTCTTAAATCCAGTCACATTTAAGTATCTAAAACATTTCATCCCTCTTAGAGTGATATATTCAAGAATTTTTCCATTTCTTTAACTATATTCAAACACATGCTTCTTACCTCAGCTAAAATACTTGATGGAGAAGCATAATATTCTTCTTTTTCTTCCTGTTCTTCAAATGAAGTATTTGTCAGTTGCCTCTAAAACAATAATTTAATTATTTTTTAACTCAAAAATATTTGAGAAGATAAAAATAAATGTCAGCTATAAAAATCACCACAAAACAGAAACTTCAGAAATGAAGTTCAGAAAATGGAGGTCACTGATTAAAATATATATGTTATAATGTGGGGAAAAAGCCAAATTAAGACTCATCTCTGCCAATTGGTATATACTGTATCTATATATTAAGTACAGTAACAAGAGCTATTGTTATAATTTTAAAAGGTAAATGTTAAAATGCTTAGATAACTATTGAACATTATTATGCTAATGCATAGATCCCATACACATTTATCTTGTATAAATATTCTGGCCAAATAGCAAACATCTACATAATGCATTGTATTACTAAACATTCATTCATTAATACTAACTCCTTTGTCAAACATCACCATATTTGGAGCCTCACAAGAATAAAAAGAGCCAGAAATAAAGCAACAATTGGCAAGAGGAAAGGACAGAAGGAAAGAAAGAAGGAAGGAAGGTAGGTTGTGAAATTGTTCCCCTTACTGCAAATAATTAAATATTAATAAATATTTCATATAATTCTGATGGACAACATATCCAGGATCAGTTTCTGAACTCACCAGACGGCGTAGGAGTTTTCCCGGGGATTCATAAATATGTAGTTCTTTCTGGGTTTCTTGAGGACTAGGATCTGAGTTTGGCCTTTGTTTGTGAACTGATGTTGCTATGTCCTATACCCCAAAGAAAATAATTAGTCACTGACTGGCTTTATTTCAAGTTGCTTAATTAACAGTGATCGCTGAAAATCTGAGATAGAGTTTCTGATAAGAATTAATATAAACAGACACTTTAGCTTTAATTTACTTTTAATATATTACAATTGTTGAAGAAGAAAAGGATAATGTTTTTTTTTAATGGCACAGCTAGGATATGCTGTTAATATTGAGCATACTGTGAAAGAAGAGACAGGAAATTTTCTGAAAACAATGTTTCTCAACCTTGGGGACTTTAAGAAGTGTGGACTTTGAACTTCCCAGGATTTTCCAGCCAGTATGCTTGGGATGCTACCCAGCTGATGATTTTGGCCCATCTCAGATAAGAAATAAGAATTGTTGAAGGAAATTATGGTGTCCTTGTTTTATTGTCATGCCACCTCAAGTATTGAATAAAAAAATTATATATATCTAGAGTTATCATAAGAATGGAAGAAAGTCTGCTCAAGTACATCCCGCTCCAAAACTTCTAAAACAAACTAGTAATGACTAAGTATGCTTAGCGGGAATATAAGAGTAACTAATGGAAGAAAGAATGAAGAATGAAATCCAATTTCTTAGGATCGGCTATTTCTTGACTTCTTAATATTTTGCCCCTTGCCACATAATATTATACAACTGGCTTGCAATTAAAGCGGATGTGTGTCTAAAAATTAAACACGTAACACTTACTTCATATTTAGTACCAAGATACTGATCCATTTTGGTGGTAGAGGTAATATCCAATTCATCAAGACAGGCCGGGACAGATTGGGACCGACTTCTGACTTTCTGTTTCTGATTCAAAATTTAGGCAGCAAACTTTATATACTTTACATAAATCATAACAATTGTTGATCATAACAGCTGAAATTATGTTTCTGCAAGCATTTGGGGGCAAGTAGTGTGCAGGCTATCCTTTAGGCAGATTATTAGTTGTTGCTTGCTCCTGTTATTTTACACATTTCCTTATTTTGTAAACTACTTTACTTGAGATCCACAAAAAAGGGCAGTGTGTAAACTGTGTAATAAATAAATGGATATATTCTTTCTTTGAAACTTCAGATACCCATAAATAAGATTCAATTTATATTTCATTCAATTAGGGTGGCAAATATATTCAGAAAGTTATGCAAAAGATAGCGAGGCTCTACTTGCTTGTTTTATTGTATTCATTGTTATTTAATCCTCAAACATTTTGCTGTGTTGAAAACTGACATTACTTTGGGATATAAAATTACATTATTATATTATGAGCTCTTGCTATTAAACATTCTGCTGCAGGGTCATTCTGACTTTTGATTCAAGAGGTTGATCAAATAAGCCTTTTTCTGTTCTGGTGCTGCTCTGGAAACAATGCAACTGGTATGTTGCAAGGTTACAATAGTCCCAGGTGTGCTGCCCTTTGATTGAAGGCCCAGCTCTTTCCCAATATATGCCACAGAGAGAAATTGATTAATACTTCAATGTGTTAGTTCTTGGGTTTTTACCTTTTTTTGTTTTTTACTGTATTGTATGTTGTTTTAAAGCTGTACATCACCCACAGCACTTATGTAAACATAATTTATAAATAAATAAAAAAGAAACAAATGCTTTCCCTTAATAGCAAATACTCACCAGTAATCAGTTTTATGATTGTTAATAACATGGGACATTGATGATTAGGTTAAGCTGTCTCAAAACTTCACATAACACTTAAGAAGGTTGCTAAATTTTAACAATAGCCACGGTCTGCATAAACTACCTGGTGTCTTCCTTTTATTATTATTTAGTTCACGCTTTTCTGTATAAGTTTAGTTTATTGTTTTACTGTTTTTATGATTGTTATGATATGATTTTTATGATTTTATGATAGTTATTACTTTTGATTGTTCTTTAGTTATTGTTTTCTTTATTGTTGTGAGCTACCCAGAGATGCTTAAGATGGGTATAAATCTTTTAAAGAAATATAGTACATGGCTGATGTGTTGTAAATATTATGTAAATATTATCTTGTCAACATTCAGGAGATTAAGGAACCCACTTTCCTCACAGAATGTGTCAGTGAAAGTGAAATGTGAGGAAATTGATTCACATTCTTAACTAAAGGGGAAGAACTTTAAGTAAACCTTTCTTTAATGAAGGCAAATAAGAAAAGAATGGGCTTATCCTTATCAGCCACAAAGATTTACAATATTGCTTGTAAAAATGACATTTCTTGAACTAATAATTTGAAATATGGCTTCTGTAATCTGATGCCTTATTAAAGCTTTTGGCAACAATTGCTAGTAAAATCCTATGTGGTGTGCATACCAAGTTTTCTTGTGAACTAGAATGTGGTTGGAAAAGAAGGAAGGCAAATGAAAATAAACATTTTTGTCTTTTTTTCTCCAGAAACATTAAATATGGTATTTTAATAACATAAACTCTTGCTGTAACTCAAAGGAAAACATTAATTTACCTGTTGTTCTGAGCACAATGTAAATAGGAAGGTAGCCCATTCCTCAACTTCCTTGCTAGAATTTTAAATGTTTTAAAACAGACAAAAGAGAAAAAGACACATGAGTAAGAAATGAAAGTGTGTAGACATTGCCGGGTGAGTAACAGAGGTTAAAAAATATATAAATCCAGATGATGCTCACAAGCTTTAGACATTCCACCAGATAGATGACTCTGTCGTTTTTTTGCCATTGCCTTTGAATTTCAGAATTAATCAAAAAGCATTCAGCAAGCTACAGCACCTATCTGGACTTCAGAATTAAGCACAATGTCTTGGAAGAGTGAAATTCCCTTGGATTTGAATGCTTGATTTGTAGGCTAGAATAGGAAATTGAAAAAAAAATAAATCCTAGAAACATAAACAGGAAAACCACTTTAATATTGTTGTCCAGTAAAATTCAGCCTTTCTATGGAGAGTCAAGCTTGATTTAAAAGAAATTTTACTCGCCCACCCTCTTTTTTTAAAAAAGAAGGGAAACTGTTTTGTTGTTTTGTTTTGTTTGCCACTCAGGCAGTGGTGGGATTCAAATATGTGAAAACTGGTTCTCTGTGTGGATGCCGCTTCCGGAAGTCCATTCTGGGCCCGGGCAACAAAAAATTAGCTACTAGTTCTGCCAAAGTGGTGCAAGTTGGCTGAATCCCGCCACTGCACTCAGGGTCACTTTTTTGTGAGATTGGTTGCTATGTAAATTAGATAATAAATAAACTGCTGTTGTTTATGTAAGTGTCTGTATTATCTTTTCATTTTTGCAGGAATAGGTCATCATTTCAACAGCTATAAGACTACAGATATTTGGAGACAACACCAAGGATTCTTCAGATATGAAATGAATTGTCTAACCGGGCCCATGGTGCTTTTAAAAAAGAAACTTTTTGAGTGATTCCATTATTTTATGCATGAATTATTTTGAGGATGGCTCGAGTTCAATTCTTGTATTTGCCCAATTATTCTAATGATGTCTTTTTTCTTGCTGAAGAACTATAGGAGAAGAAAAGATGGTATTTTAATTGGTTGGCTGGATGTTAACCCTCAGACAGTTTCTGTTAATTAAAAACTGATATCAGACTAAGGATGGCAAAAAAATTATGCTTTCAAATGACTCCTATACAGGTAGTCCTCAAATTGCAATTTACAGCCAGAATCAAAGTCAAAATTGTAAGATAGCTGATTTAATGACCATTTTTATGAGAGTGAATCACCATACTAATTAAGTAAATCCACGGTTGTTAAGTGAATGCTGCAGTCATAAGTGCAAACCCATTCTTCTAAATGGGCATTTTTTTTCTGGAAACCAAACATAATACTGTGGCCAAAGTATCAGATTATTCAGTTTATGAAGCAGCCTCTCACAATCTGGAGATCTAACATTTGCATAGTATTCAAATTTGATTTCTAGTCTTTCTTGCAATAATTTGGAGTTTAATCCCTGAGACGTCAATCTGTAAACTGCACTTTTGGCCTGTTAAACAAAATATACATTATCCTTTGGTTTCAACTGATATCAAAACACCAAAGTAGTAAGGATATGCAATAATTCTGATGTTGCACAGAAATTCTGAAAAAACAACTTTCTTCTATGGAGCCAGTTATATTATCCAATAGAGATTTCTTCATCAATTCCTCCTTTAAGCAAACTACGCATGTGGGTGCAGGAGTGGGAGCCAGTTTGCTGTTCCAATTTCTCTGCATTTATAGCCTCTCTTTACTTCCAGTTACTCTACCTCCAGTCAAAGATGTAATGAGAATATATGGTCATGGTAGGTATGACATGCCCTTTTTCATACTTTTGGCTGATTGCTTAGATCAGACATATCAAACTCATGACATCATGTGACGTCGCGCAACGTATTGGGACTATTTTGCCATTGCTGGCAGTGGGGTGGGCGTGGCTTTCACATGACACGTCTGGCCTGTGGGCCAGCAATTTGACACCCCTGTCTTAGATGAATTGCAGAGAGACTGATATCATGCATGCTTGCTCTTCCTGTACATGGGTGAATGTATGCTCAACTCTATATGCAGCAATCCATTTAATGTGGATTTAATGTGGATTACGAATGTAAGAGATTCTTGAGACTTCACTGCAAAAACCCCTTCATTTACCATAACCAATTGAGCTTCACAATGACTATTTTTGATGAAAGCAACTGAACTCTAATAACTTGTTTTCCTTTCTTACTTATAAAAGCTTATAAAAACATTAAAACTAACATTATGTTTCAAAAGAACAATATAACTCCATTGTTTAAATAAAACTCTATTCTAGATGACCTAATTACAAAGGTCAAAGATAATTCTAAACAAGTGTTCTTTGTACCACACCTTTTGTTTACAAAATCTTACTAGAAAACAGGCAGAAATTTAAATTCTTTCAGAGTATCTATTAAGGAAATTGGTAGTGCTTTTTAATCTGAGAAGAATTATAATTATAATTATAAACAGGGGGAGGGAAAACTCCTTCAGTTTTGTTTCTGAGTCAGTTTGTTCAGATATAAGAAATTATTGAATTCTGGGGAAAAAGGAAGAAAAGTCTTAATTATAGGATGTTTCTAAGAGAATATGGATTTTTTAAGTATAACTATTTTTTCCCATAGCAAAAGTGCAGCACAAGTCTGAATTTCAGATAGTTTTCAAAGAAGCCATGCAAAATATTCCACTAGAATTGATTTCACAAGAATTAGCTCATATTTAGACAGCATACTAAAAAGCAGAGACATCACCCTGCCAACAAAAGTGCGTATAGTCCAGGCCATGGTTTTCCCAGTTGCAATGTATGGCTGTGAAAGTTGGACCATAAGAAAGGCTGAGCGCCAAAGAATTGAGGCCTTTGAACTATGGTGCTGGAGAAGACTCCTGCGAGTCCCTTGGACTGCAAGGCGTTCAAACCGGTCAGTCCTAGAAGAGATCAACCCCGACTGCTCTTTAGAAGGCCAGATCCTGAAGTTGAAACTCAAGTACTTTGGCCACCTAATGAGAAGGAAGGACTCACTGGAGAAGAGCCTAATGCTGGGAAAGATTGAGGGCAATAGAAGAAGGGGACGACAGAGAATGAGATGGCTGGATGGAGTCACTGAAGCAGTAGGTGTGAACTTAAATGGACTCCAGAAGATGGTAGAGGACAGGAAGACCTGGAGGAACGTTGTCCATGGGGTCGCGATGGGTCGGACACGACTTCGCAATTAACAACAACAACAAAACTCATATTTCCCTTCTCATGATAGAACTTCCACTATTCTAGAATAGTGGAAAATAGTTTCCTCTTAAAATAATTTTATTTAATTATGAAAAATATATTTTCTTTCTTTTTTTTTCTTTCTTTCTTTCTTTCTTTCTTTCTTTCTTTCTTTCTTTCTTTCTTTCTTTCTTTCTTTCTTTCTTTCTCTATGTCTCTTTCTCTCTTTCCTTTTCTTCCCTTCCTTCCTCCCATAACTGTGAGCAAGTGTTCGCCACACTTTGCTCTTCTCTTTTGCAGCTTTATGCCATAAATGTTGAGAATCTAACTCTGTCATAAACAGTATTGAACTATGACTGCAGTTAATATCTCTCCTCTGTGCAAACTGCAGAATTCAGAATAATGATATGAAGTTATAGGGGGCAGATTATAGCTGAATGCTAGAAGAAACATCTTATGAATAAGAGCAGTTTCATAGTAGATGCAGTTTTCAAGGTTGTAAAGTACCTCCTTGTTGGATGTGTTTAAACATATACTCATCACACCCCAGAAATGTTTTAGTCTAAGGATCCATTTTCAAAGTTTTGGTGTGCTTGTTTTCTAACATTATAACAAATTAAAACCATGTCCATAAAAGGATTGTGAACTTACCTATCTCTTCCAATAAGATAAAATATTCTGTTCTCTGTAGTGATACTCATCACTTCAGTGGACTGGCACTTGAACATCTTTTTCACAACAGACATTTTCTCAGAGTCACCTATGCCAATTTCTATTTTTGAAGCTCTGTCAAATAATATAGGTAAACAAATAAATGTTATTAATTTTTGACTGTTTAAAAACAAATTCTTACAATAAAAAGTACATTTTTTTTTCTAAGAATGCCTGCGTTGCATTTGAAACAACAGTTTTGCTAGCTGGATTAGTTGGGATTTGATTTTGGAAACTTCTGGATGGGAGCAGATAGTGGAAGACTAGATTTGGGACACAATTGTTTCTCAAATCCTTATCCTGTTCCATGAGTTTAAAAACTGAATGTGAATCAAAGATATCAGATGCTTAATAAATGTTTAGGAACATTTCAGGATTTAATTCTATCAAGGCACTTACTAGGAATGTTCATTACGTTTTACAGATATGAGAAGATAAAGTTTGTAGACTACATCTGGTATAGGAAATTCCTTCTCAAAGTTCTTAGGCAATCAATAGAGCTATCACACCCAGGTGACAAAAACCCAGGCAACTATTAGATGGAAGATAATAGTTCCTCACTCTTTGCCTATGATCATCTAGGGTTTTCAAGCCCACATACATAAAGTGGTCCTTTTTGTGAAGACATAATTCTGATCCTACAATTATTGTATGTAGTCAGAATACACTAAACTCATGCAACTCTAGTATTCACATTTATTTTAATGCATGAGGGAGTTATTTGACTATCCCCTTACAACTTGCTCTCTAATATTTACTTATTTATTTACTTACAGGTAACTTTAGACTTATGACCACAATTGAGCCTAAATGTTTTTGTTGCTAAGTGAAACATTTGTTAAGTGAATTTTGCCCCATTTTATGACAGTTTTTAAGTTAGTAACATGGTTGTTAAGTGAATCTGGCTTCCCCATTGACTTTGCTTGTCAGAAGGTCACAAAAGATGAACCTGGGACAGTGAAATTGTCTTAAATATGAGTCAGTTGCCAATTGTCTGAATTTTGAACACATGACTGTAAGGATTCTACAACAGTCATAAGCGTGAAAAACTTTTTTCAGTGCTGCTTAATGTTGAATGGTCACTAAGTGAACTGTTGTTAGTTGAGAACTACCTGTACTTGCTTATTGTATGCTACCTCGATCAAACAGCAAATCGAGATAAATTAGATATTAGGACTAAAAAATACAAGATGATAATGATGATCCCACAGCATAAAACAAAACATAGCCATACTTATTAAACATAGATTCAATATTATCATAATGCATCATGTGTCAGAATCTTTTGAAAAAAGCCAGGTTTGTGAAACAGGGTTAGGACCATAAAGAACTGGGGTCAGGGAGCTGTTCCATAGGGAAGTTGTAGCCACATATATAATCTAGACAAAAATGTATTATAGAACCAGGGGAAATTGCAGCATACTGTATTATTTAAGCATTAGAAGTTTTGTATTTAATTAGTAACTCTGTTAAAATAAACTGTGATAGATTTGTTCAAATGCTTACTCATTAATTTCAATGTGGCCCTTTATTTGCTGGCCTTTACGATAGCTCAAGATGTAACCATTTTGGGCAGAATGAGAAAGAATAAAATATCTCCTTTTCCAGGAACTCTACAGAAAGGGGAAAAATCAAGTTCATGCATTAATAGAAAACCAACACATTAGGAATGTATTTTGATAATGATGATAGTAAAGCTATTATTTTCTTAACTGTACCTGATTATTAAAAAGTTGAGGTGGTGGTGATTTTATGAAGAAACCATACTTGTAGACACTGTTGTCACAATTTCCTAAGAAAGAAAAACAAAAAGTCATGTTTTATAAAAGGAGATTACTATCCCTGTACAAAAACTAATGCTAAATGCTGGGCAACCAAATTTTAGCCCTGAAGTATCATCAAGCCATTATTTTTCTCATTCACTGTCCAGCCCTGTTTTAAAAATGCATGAAACAAAATTGTAACTGCAATAAGGAATGGTATTCTGTATTTTTTAAAAAATAAACAGCTACAAAACATCCTGAATATGTCATTACATTGCAAAAAGTTCCTAGAAGATGGGAAGTAGGCAAAATGTATATTGGAGAAGGATAAAAGAGATACAGAAAATGAAGAATGATTTTGGAGAAAATAAAAATGAGGTTCTAAATACAGTGTTTTTGAGTTTCAGCATATTTCAGATATATGAACTTCAAACTAGTGTAGGACAACAAAAATAGATGGCAAAAGATTAGAATAAGAAGATTAATTTGTGTAGCTTGGTATAATATTTCCTAAAAATGAGGAAATGAATGGAGAAATTTTCAGATATGCAAATGCTGGAATGAAGGTATGAAGATTAAAAAAAAGTAAAAATAGTTATATGTACATATTAAACTGATTCTGTCCATTGCATTAAAATTGAAAATTTCACAAAAGGAAATTGAAGTCATGAGAAAATGGTTACTGTACTTAAGAAGCCAGAGTGGCAAGAGATACGGTTATGAATGGGTGATAAACTTATGTGGACTGAATATAAAGATGAATGAATGAATATAAAAAGACTTATTGAGAAGCTTTGGTCATTCAGAGACAAAGGATAAAGATATAATCACAAATATATAAAAGGAGATTGAATTCATTGAAACGAAGGTGAAAACCAAGAAGGTTGTTTTTTGGGGATAATGTAAGGGACAAAGTACACATATGAATTTGTTTGCCAGGACAGAAATATACAGAAAAGTACAGAAGATGGTGTTTATGCAAAATAGCTGAATTAGGTTTCCTTTTATTTTATCTCTTGATTTTAATTTGTGTTCCCTACTATTGCTTACACTTGCATTTGCAAAATGTTGCTTACTCTGAAAGAGAGTAATGTGATGTCTATATGCGTTTTCCAGTCGACTATATTGTATATGTCAAAAGAAAAAAAAGGGCATTAAATTTATACCATGATAAACCATATTAAAATACTTTGAAAAAAACACATTTGGAAGGATAATATATTATCTAATCTCAATATGAGTAATGTTATATAGTTAAGCAATGAAGGTGGTGAAAAAGATAAATACTGTGATCTGAAGCTAGATACAAATGAAAGCATGAGGAAGCATTTCTCGTATAAGCTCCTTTCATCTTCTGCATGATACGTTTTATTGATTATTATGATACTACTGCATATTATCAAGGCCCATGAACAAGGACAAGAAGTGGCCCATTAGTTCTTGAAAATCGGAAAATAGCCTAAAGCACTTGAGTGAAAATGGTAGGCTACAGATACAAGCAGAATTTTTCTTTGTTCTTACAAAATTTTAGCAAATTGACCTTTTGCTTCACAAAAATCGTTAAACGTGTTGAAATGTGCTTGTTATTCACAGAAAACTCAGAGCAGCATTTGAAAAATGTTGTCAAATAAAAATAAAATATATACGTGAATAGCTTTTGATGAATAAGAAGCAGAGCTCAGTTTGAATCAAATTCAGCTAGACCACATTTCTGAAGTGTGTAATAAATATAAAGGGTAAAATATAAAGCCTGGACAAGGGGCACTTTCTGCTTCATTGAGTAACAACTTAATGAAAGGAGGACTTTAGATATGAAAATCTGATTCTAAGCTTAAGAATATCCATGGCCAAATTCTTCATTAGGTTTCAGATGTGGATCAAATGTCACCCCCGATATGAAAAAAGAGTGGGAATATAGCATGGCAGCTATAATAAATTGTTATAACTTTAATAGAAACTTGTTCTGACTGCATTTATTGAACAAGGCAAATGAATAAGACATATATATTGAAAAATATCAAGTATCAAAAATGCTGTGAAAAGGGGAATCAGGCAAAAACATTAAAATTTAGTTATGTACCAATACTAGTTCTTCTTGTAGAATCCATATTTGTTTATTAGTTCAACCTGAAAAATAAACAAAGAATGAATGTTAAAGGGTACTTTAATAAGATGAGTTTCACTGTTTATCAAGGCTATCATAATCAGACCTTTTCCTTTCAGGATTCACTAATTCACTAATCCTATTCATCTATTTAATACAAACAGAAACTATCACCATACAAAATATTATCAAATAGTAACCTATATTGTTTGTCAATCTTATTTAAATTTAAGTTACTCATATACTTGCAATCAAATAAAATGCTTTCATATGCCAAAACAAAGAAAAAACCTCATATATTTCTCAGTTTTCCCCAAAGGATGTGGTCTTTGCCAAGAATAACAATGTGATATTTTATTTCTATAGTTTTCTTGTCCAGAAAGAACAGTTTATCCTTGGAGTATTGTGCAAAAACAAAAGAAAAGAAAAGAAAACAAAACCCTGGAAGAATCAATTACCATCCTGGAAATTCAACAAAATAACAAAATCCAACAAAAAGTCCCTTGAGATTAGAATTGTAAGAATTGCATTGATAAAAGATTTGTAAGAAGGAAAAGAGATTTAGGAACTGATATACATATATGACTGTTTTAAATTATGAGGAAACTAATATATGAAATTCTGACTTTTCTTTCACCTTGCAGATAAAAATCTTAGTATTAACAAAATGAACGATTCAAAGGACTTTAGTATTATGCAAACAGATTTATTTATGAAAAGGACTTCCTTTTTTCCCAGTTTTGTCTTTTGCCTGCACAAAGATCCTTTAATCTGCTTAAACTATTTTGGAAAGCCTGTCTAGATGCAAAGGAGAGAAAAAAATACAGTAGGTCTGCTAGTAAATGCCACTTTACTAGCAGTATTACAGTCAAAATGAAGATTTTCAAAACTGATTCTAATTTCTATGCTGAAGAGAATTCACCATATTTTAGAAATAAAGTAGATTGGTCTGAAGAAAGGAACCATTGCTTTTGAATGCTAATGCCAAAATAAAAAAACAACAGGACAATGTGTTAAATTTGAAATATAGTCCATAATCATTGGAAGGCAATTCATGTGTATTTGCCCCCCTCTCATTTCTAAGTACTTAAAAAACACAGTGCTTTTAGGCACTGATCTCTACAGCAGTGATGTTTCAGGACAAGAATAATTTCCTACTCATTTCATTAGAGACAAGAATTTTGTGGATACATACTGTTGCTACATTGGAGTGAACTTTCTCTGTTTTTCTCTAGAAATAAATTCAGAACATCAAGTGTTCACTAAAAGTTCCATTTCTGCAAGGAATTAAATGAAGAGAACTGCAGAGTTTTTTTTAAAAGCCTATTTTAGCATGAGAATAATCATTCACTGCCCTGAAATTCTATTCTTCTTCCTCTTTCTATTCCATCACATTTGTGTCAAAATCCAAATGTACCTATAATATATAACAATTCTTTATTTGCAAGGATTGAAAGGGACTTGGATAGCAAATATTTTCTTTATTCATTTCCACTATATGAAGAATACATTTTACATTAATACCAGCCTACAAGAAATAGAATTAATGAAACATATCATATTAGTGATTAAGACATATTCAAAAATCAAAAACTGCTGATGAAAAGGGGAATCAGGCAAATGCAACATATATAAATGTTAGAAGTTGTAGTTCCAGCATGAATTGCCCAGCCTTCTTGTAGAATCTGACATATTTGTTTATTAGTTCAACCTGAAAAATAAACAAAGAATGGTTCAGGGTACTTTAATAAGATGAGTTTCACTGTTTATCAAGGCTATCATAATCAGACCTTTTCCTTTCAGGATTCACTAATTCACTAATCCTATTCATCTATTTAATACAAACAGAAACTATCACCATACAAAATATTATCAAATAGTAACCTATATTGTTTGTCAATCTTATTTAAATTTAAGTTACTCATATACTTGCAATCAAATAAAATGCTTTGCATATGCCAAAACAAAGAAAAAACCTCAATATATTTCTCAGTTAGTTCCCCAAAGGATGTAAAGGGTCAGCCAAGGAATAACAGAGGTGATATTTTATTTCTATAGTTGTTCTTGTGAAAGAACAGTTTATCCTTGGAGTATATGTGCAAAAACAAAACAAAAGAAAAGAAAACAAAACCCTGGAAGAATCAATTACCATCCTGGAAATTCAACAAAATAACAAAATCCAACAAAAAGTCCCTTGAGATTAGAATTGTAAGAATTGCATTGATAAAAGATTTGTAAGAAGGAAAAGAGATTTAGGAACTGATATACATATATGACTGTTTTAAATTATGAGGAAACTAATATATGAAATTCTGACTTTTCTTTCACCTTGCAGATAAAAATCTTGGTATTAACAAAATGAACGATTCAAAGGACTTTAGTATTATGCAAACAGATTTATTTATGAAAAGGACTTCCTTTTTTCCCAGTTTTGTCTTTTGCCTGCACAAAGATCCTTTAATCTGCTTAAACTATTTTGGAAAGCCTGTCTAGATGCAAAGGAGAGAAAAAAATACAGTAGGTCTGCTAGTAAATGCCACTTTACTAGCAGTATTACAGTCAAAATGAAGATTTTCAAAACTGATTCTAATTTCTATGCTGAAGAGAATTCACCATATTTTAGAAATAAAGTAGATTGGTCTGAAGAAAGGAACCATTGCTTTTGAATGCTAATGCCAAAATAAAAAAACAACAGGACAATGTGTTAAATTTGAAATATAGTCCATAATCATTGGAAGGCAATTCATGTGTATTTGCCCCCCTCTCATTTCTAAGTACTTAAAAAACACAGTGCTTTTAGGCACTGATCTCTACAGCAGTGATGTTTCAGGACAAGAATAATTTCCTACTCATTTCATTAGAGACAAGAATTTTGTGGATACATACTGTTGCTACATTGGAGTGAACTTTCTCTGTTTTTCTCTAGAAATAAATTCAGAACATCAAGTGTTCACTAAAAGTTCCATTTCTGCAAGGAATTAAATGAAGAGAACTGCAGAGTTTTTTTTAAAAGCCTATTTTAGCATGAGAATAATCATTCACTGCCCTGAAATTCTATTCTTCTTCCTCTTTCTATTCCATCACATTTGTGTCAAAATCCAAATGTACCTATAATATATAACAATTCTTTATTTGCAAGGATTGAAAGGGACTTGGATAGCAAATATTTTCTTTATTCATTTCCACTATATGAAGAATACATTTTACATTAATACCAGCCTACAAGAAAGGGTGCCTAGAACTAAACTTATAATTGGGATTCATGAAACCATATTTTTCAGCCCTTTGAATTAGTCCAACAAGAAGCTCACATTATGAGACATAACATTACTATTTTTGTCAGGTTGAAAGTCTGAAAGCATATATTTCCCTCCTTGCCTTTACTTTCCAGGGAACTAGGGAGTATCTCTTCTGAGATGCTTACCATGTCCCTCATTCCTTGTGGACTGAGATGTCTCTTATCTGACTATTGCTAAGCCTGTGGGTCTTCATTCTTCTGCCTCTCAAAGATATTCCCACAGACCACTATATATATACATGCATGCGGACATATATACCCATAAATGTACATATGCTCAATAAAAGTTGCCTACAAGAAGCAGTTCTATTGGGATTAGTGGTAATCAAGAATGATAGCAGGTGAATTGCCCAGTAGGAAGATGTTGTAGCCTGTTGCCTGGATTGAATAGGTTCCAAATTGTTGCCAAAACATCTCAGTCTGACAGGATTTTCTTAAGTTGGTTTAGAGCAGTGGTTCTCAAACTTTTTAATGCTGTGGCCCCCAACCAGTCGCAAGTCGAGGACTATTCAACTGGTCGCAAGTCGAGGACTACTCAACTGGTGCAGCACCATTTGCAGAATGGGACTTTTGGTGGGCTCAGCAGGGCAGAGACAGCCTGGACAATTCCTATTAGACTCTATTCAAGAGAGTCTATTCTAATGGCTTTCAAAAGCCAATAGAATAAAAGGGAGTAGCACAGCTAAGGAAAAGGGGAAAAAAATGGCGGACTGTGTTGTTTGGCAACCCCCGTGAAATGGTCGTTTGACCCCAAATGGGGTCCCGACTCACAGGTTGAGAACCACTGGTTTAGAGGGTAGCCAGTATAAGCGCAGGGCAGGTACCTATTAAGGGTGCAGTGCTAGAAGCTCCTTTATGACCAAATATTTTGTTTCAGCTTTGTTGGGCAACTGCAACATTCAAGATATTCAAGTGACATACATTCCTTATTCTTCAAAATGTTGGTTTTCTACTATTTTAAAATTAATATTTTTTAAGTTCTTCATGTTTCATTCTTTTTATTTAATATATAAAATATAAAATACAAAGAAAAAAATAGAAATGTTTGATGGCATACTCCTCTTGGGGATGGAGGGATAGATTCAGTCACAGAAGCCATGATGTTCTTATTATTTCCACACCTAATATTTTTATTTATTATTTATTAATTCAATTGATATCCCACAAAAAACAATCAAGAAATACAGCAAGTCTAGGAGAGGCGCTTTAGAATCAACCATTCAGTAAGTGGATCAAAATATACTTGAAAGAGCCAAAATTAAGAAATTAGTAGTCATCCTCCAACAAGAAAGAAGACAAAGCTAAAATGCAAATCACTCTTAATATATTATTTAAAAGAGGATTCCAATCAAATCAAATATTTGTTTAAAGAAGTGAAACAAAACTTGAAGTGGGAATGGGAGATGATTTGCCTTGATAAAAACATTTATCAGATATTTCTGAAAGAATTAAGTATATTCAAGTTTATCATTGCCTAAAAATGCCTTCTGCCATGAAAAATATGAAGAAAATAATATAGATATTAAAATATCTCAGGTAGAGATTGAAGATTCTAACATATGAAGCAGCATCTACATCAGACATGTTAACAAAAAAGTTGAGAATGACAATGTGATAGATAACATCATATTGTAATAAGACTTTATGATCTCTCCAAAACTGCATGTATCTGAAAAGAACATAGCATTAAGTTCTTCAAATTCAAAATTCAGACTTTTGAAGTTTAACAAACCAAGACAAAAAGAATTTATTGAAGACTTTTAATTCAAAACATTCTTCCCAATTTATTAAAAGAACTTCAATAAAGGATTCATTCAAGAATAAAATTATTCAAATATTTGCTTGAACAGTTTTTAATAATATGTCATATATAAACAGAAGATTTTTTTTGCTCCAAAGTTAAGAATTATTATACATGTATGGTAAAGCAAAATAAAATACTGCTAAGAAAATATTATTATTTTACCAGTTAAATTAACTATTGCTGAAAAATGAAATATTTTACAATATAATATCTCTAGATTTAAATGGTTTGATATGATTTAGTTTATATCATTGTTTGAGAAAGTTTCACCATGAAAAATAGCAAATCATTATTTTATAAAAAATGGTGGTATATTATTGCTTATATAAGAAAAAATTAATCCGTGCAATAGTTGGTAACAGAAATTATGGAAATGTTAAATTTTACCAACATCATGTGAATCTAATTTAGCTCTAAATATAATTTTGGTTGTTCCATGTCTCCTAGTAATAAATTATTGTGCACTTTATTCCTGCTACAATAATCTAATAGGCACTGTATAAAAATTATTTTCAAACTACAAAATTGTAGATCTAAATAATTCTGCTGCTATAAAAGTTTATTATAAGTAACATTTGTTTTCCTTAAAAATAATGATTTTTTTAAAAAAAACAAGGCTGTAGATAAGCTAAAGAAAACATAAGATACCTTTGAATCTGGACAGTTAGTTTGTCTTCTTCCATATGGTAAATCTTCCAAACTCTTAGTCTTATAGGGCATACATCAAACAATGTTAGAGTAACCTCGTGTCATTTCTTTTGCTCATGCCCTTTATATATCAAATTTGCTTGAGGCTGAGAGATAGCAAAACACCTTTAAAATTAAAGGATGTTATCTTATGTATGTACACACTTGTGAATTTACAAGAGGGGCTTTGGCCAAATTTAGAATACTAAAGGAGAGCAGGAACATTAATTGCAGATAATTTCCATGTCCAATTAAAAAAAATTGCAATAGCACAACTCTTCCAAAGGTGGGGAAAAAAAGATAATTCTAAGTTTATTCCTGTTTTAAATTTTATTTATAGTATTTATGAGGGGTTTACCCTAATCTTGTGACAATAAAAGGTACTGAAGCACTTTGCACTTTAACTACTGTACACAGAAGAAGAGAATAAAATTAAATTGTACACATTGTCAGCTGTAAATAAATGTTATACGATTTTTAGCAATACTTACAGGATAAGATGTTTGCCATGCTGGAGATCAGCAATACCCAAACATGTCACTGAGACATTTATTGAAAATTGGATTATTTAGTTAACAGAGCGACTGTCCTTTTATATCAGTCTTAATTACATCCCTAACTGTGACTCATAAGGAAATACGCAACTTTCTCATATGAGAAATATTCCCTTTTACTGTCAAAACTGAAAGTTGTTTTAATGAGGAAATACGGGAAATGGCAGTGTTTTTAAAGAGCTTTTGACAGGGCACAAAACAGGTGCAATAATAATACTAAATCCAGGTTAATACTTCTTTTGCTTTTTTTTTACTTCATTTCCTCATAGCATTTTTTTTTTAATGTAACACTGTTCCAACAGCAAGTAGAGGACAGATATGAATTGCTATGAAGATATAGTTGGGTATTTGATTGCAATTATTACAATCTAACAAAATACTTTATTTAATGAATAACATAGGCAGGGAAACTCTCAGAAAACAAATCCATAGACCTTTCCTTATGTAGATCTAATAACTGGAAAACAATGTTTTATTGCTTGCTTAGAATTCCTGTATTTAATCTCACCCCAACTAATACCAGAAGCAGCCTTAACCCACACTATTCTGATGTTACTGAAACATGTTAAGACAATTCTAAAATATATAAAATCTGGTGTATATCTCTGCCAATTCTCAGTGCAGTTGACTGACTACTAATGCAGAAGATTGACTGCAACTGGTACCTGTTTGCAATTTCAGGCTGCTAGAGGCAAAGCCCACTGTACTTCCACAAATGTAATGGGAGATGATAGACTGCACAATTAACAGGAAGAACTGAATTTTTCAGAACGCAGATACTGCCTAGTTTTCGATAAGATACCATTTTACAACACAGCTCTATCAGCCTACAAAGCCTGTTTGTCAAGCTTGTGTACGTTCTGGTTGTCCTGAATTGGCCCAGCAACACAGCCATCATTCATGATAGAAAGAGAAGTATGAGACACAAATATTAAGACAACTTTTGAAACAATTTCTCTTTATCTCCCTTCTGTTGAGAGGCAATACTTTTCTCCCCCTTTATGGAGATATCCTGCTCAGATTTGCTAATCAAGGATTGTGTAGCAGGTTAAAACATTGGCATGGGAACAATAAAGGTGACTTCAATGGAGAAACAATTCTCAGTATTTCAGAGGAAAACCTGAGTTGCAAATTAGGAATAGCTTCAGTGTCTCTCCTCAAAGGACCCAGAGCTGAGAAAAAACCAAGAAGGGAAAGGTGAAAGGAACCTCTGATTTCTATTTTCTCTCTCTCTCAGGCTAGCTGACTGACATGTTGTGGAGCCTGAAATGGAATCTCGCTCTCCTTGCTGTGTCTCTTCAGCTGATCAGGGAACGACACTTGTGTCAGGAGTGGGGTTTTCTGCTTCTCAGCAAATGCTTTTGGCTGCAAAGCAAAATAACTGGTGTGTGTGTGTGTGTGTGTATGTGTGTGAGAGAGAGAGAGAGAGAGAGAGACAGAGAGACAGACAGACTTGCAGAGGATAATATGTAGATATATTTCTAAAAGAAAGAGGGGGAAAAAAAGCAAGAGAAAAAGAATGTTTATGGAAATTAAACAAATGGACAAAACATTATCTCTCCTCCACTGTGTTTTTCATGTTTTTAGAATTCAGATCTTAATTCTGCCCAAATCTTCCCATACCCTGCAAATAGCTATTTAAAGTCACCTTCTCAGGTTTCATATTCATACAATTTCCTGAATACTGATTTATATTTTGCTTTATTGCACTCAAGAAATAATTCATACATATGCCGAAGTTCTGCCAACTACAATATTATAGTGTGCGTGTCTTATCCAGGCTTTAAATTGCAAGTGTTTTTCTCTCTCCCTTTTGCATCAGTGGATTCTCAGTCATTATTTTTCCAGATTTTAAACCCAAATGCACCTGTCCATGTTTGCAAAAGTTCTCTGGTTCAAGTATACTGCTTCCTATCTTATCTATTTTAGCTCATATGGCCCTGGTGCTGACCATGTCCCGGTTTTGCATATTGCAGCAGCCGACCTTGCCTCCTTCCGCCTTAGCTTGTCAATGTCCAATATGGCAGTACTTACCAATGCAGATGCCACAGGTGCTCTCCTTATAATTACTCCTTTACAGGCCACCTTAAGAAATGTGACTTTATCCTATTCATATCTTTGAGCAAATGCATTTCAGTCCATCTCAAGAACAAAATAGATGTTTTATGCCAAGACCAGACTTACAGTGGGGCAAAAAAGTATTTAGTCAGCCACCAATTGTGCAAGTTCTCCCACTTAAAAAGATGAGAGAGGCCTGTAATTGTCATCATAGGTAGACCTCAACTATGAGAGACAAAATGAGAAAACAAATCCAGACAATCACATTGTCTGATTTGGAAAGAATTTGCAAATTATGGTGGAAAATAAGTATGTGGTCAATATCAAAAGTTCATCTCAATACTTTGTTATATATCCTTTGTTGGCAATGACAGAGGTCAAACGTTTTCTGTAAATCTTCACAAGGTTGGCACACACTGTTGCTGGTATGTTGGCCCATTCCTCCATGCAGATCTCCTCTAGAACAGTGATGTTTTGGGGCTGTCGCTGGGCAACATGGACTTTCAACTCCAAAGGTTTTCTATGGGGTTGAGATCTGGAGACTGGCTAGGCCACTCCAGGACCTTGAAATGCTTCTTACGAAGCCACTCCTTCGTTGCCCGGGTGGTGTGTTTGGGATCATTGTCATGCTGAAAGACCCAGCCACGTTTCATCTTCAATGCCCTTGCTGATGGAAGGAGGTTTACACTCAAAATCTCACGATACATGGCCCCATTCATTCTTTCCTGTACACCGATCAGTCATCCTGGTCCCTTTGCAGAGAAATAGCCCCAAAACATGATGTTGCTACCCCCAGGCTTCACATAGGTATGGTGTTCTTTGGATGCAATTCAGCATTCTCTCTCGTCCAAACACGACAAGTTGTGTTTCTACCAAACAGTTCTACTTTGGTTTCATCTGACCATATGACATTCTCCCAGTCCTCTTCTGGCTCATCCAATGCTCTCTAGCAAACTTCAGATGGGCCCGGACATGTACTGGCTTAAGCAGGGGGACACGTCTGGCATTGCAGGATCTGAGTCTCTGGTGGCGTAGTGTGTTACTGATGGTTGCCTTTGTTATGTTGGTCCTAGCTCTCTGCAGGTCATTCACTAGGTTCCCCCCCCATGTGGTTCTGGGATTTTTGCTCACCGTTCTTGTGATCATGTTGACCCCACAAGGTGAGATCTTGTGTAGAGCCCCAGATCAAAGGACATTATCAGTGGTCTTGTATGTCTTCCATTTTCTAATTATTGCTTCCATAGTTGATTTCTTCACACCAAGCTGCTTGCCTATTGCAGATTCAGTCTTACCAGCCTGGTGCAGGTCTACAATTTTGTTTCTGGTGTCCTTCGACAGCTCTTTGGTCTTCACCATAGTGGAGTTTGGAGTATAACTGAGGTTGTGGACAGGTGTCTTTTATACTGATAACAAGTTCAAACAGGTGCCATTAATACAGGTAATGAGTGGAGGACAGAGGAGCCTCTTAAAGAAGTTACAGGTCTTTGAGAGCCAGAAATCTTGCTTGTTTGTAGGTGACCACATACTTATTTTCCACCATAATTTGCAAATAAATTCTTTTCAAATCAGACAATGTGATTGCCTGGATTTTGTTTTCTCATTTTGTCTCTTATAGTTGAGGTCTACCTATGATGACAATTACAGGCCTCTCTCATCTTTTTAAGTGGGAGAACTTGCACAATTGGTGGCTGACTAAATACTTTTTTGTCCCACTATAGACACACCTGCAAGGCATTCAAAATGTGGCTTTGTCATCTTACCTGCAGTTGAATGGAATCTATTAATGTCTTCAGTTACTGTTTTATGCTGTTTATATTGGTTTTTAATTTTTTGTTGTTCATTGTCCAGAGTAATTTATGTGAAATGGGCAGCCATATAATTAGTTAATGAAGTAAGCCATCCAAACATGATACTTGTTCAAAAGGTCCAAGTGTCAGGCCGTCTCAGTGGTGAATTCATTGTAGTTTGCTCCAGAAGTATGATTGGCTGTTAGTTTGGACAGACCAAAGTAGCATTGTTCCATTTAGCATTTGGCCCTTCAAGATGTATTGTTTTTATTTCTGTTGCTATTGTTTTGTATGTGATTTTTAGACTTTTTAAAACTTCACCAGGAGCCAACCTGATTGAGGTGATAATACTGCAAAATAAATGAGTAATCAATAACTAAACTAGTTGTTATATACAAAGAATTGGTGCACATATTTATTTTCATTTACCAAGTTTTTCTTCTTTTCTTCTGTCAAGCTTCAGTTGGAGTCTGAGCTGCAATCACTTATCCAAGAACCGAGTAAAGTAGATTTTTATAATGGAGATACTTGTGCTTATTTGATGTCTCCCTGACCACGAGAATCGATTTTCACAGTATTTCATTTTTCATGTCTCTCCAGCATTTAACAGACCTTGGAACTTCTTTCTCCCATGCTTCCCTGATGATTGGCTTAAAATAGATTTTTTTTCCTCAGATTTACTCCACAAGTTTGTGAAGATAATGAAACTCTATACCATCTCTCCTCCTTTTCCCAAAATCACAGGGGTATATGATTGGCTTAAGGAAATTTCTAACTCAAAATGTGTGGTGTATTTTTAAGTTATTAAAAAATCTATCTCATTTTACTGGATGGAAAATAATTTTGCAGCAGAAGTTGTATAGTGGCTAGCAACGGCTGTTTGTCCTATCTGGCCTTTTTGTGTAAGTCAGTTAATTTGGAGGTCTTTCCAAGTATGACGCAGACTCAGCTAATATTTAAACTGAAGTAAGACATTACTGTCTCATTCAGAGTCAACAGTAGGCAAGATGGTTTGTATGAGTTATTTTCAGAAAAGTTGAAGCTGGGTTGCCTGAGAGTCACAAGTTGCTGAGATTGTCAAGTTTCAAACAAAATCAGTCAGAAAATGCATGAGAAAAGCAAAGATAAGAACTAGTAATATTTAAGACCATTGAAAGCAAAAGAATGTAACTAAATTCAATATTGTAGTAGTCCTTATTTAAAAAGATTATATTCTTAGTACTTTGCATGTAATTTTTTTTATTCCTCCCTACATAAAAGGCTACCAGGCTTCTTTTGGAGTAGATCAGTTTTGTTTCTATTTTTATAATGGTCAGACTGGCTCTTCTTTGGTTTCTTATTGAGAATTACATCTCATACCTTCTCTACATTAAGGCACGTTTCAAAGGCTTTGGTGTTCGATGTGACTTTGCATGCTTTTAATTGATTTACAGAGATTAGATTCAACTTGAAGCACACCATGTTGATATGGTTTGTCTAGCATAAACTGTTCGAAGGACATGAATATTCCCATTGTACAGTGTGCAGAAGCAAAAAAGGTCAATTTTCCTGTAACTGACGCAACTGGATTGTTGTCCAACAGGATAATATTTGAAGAAGAGCAACCAAGTTGGAGATTTTTTCTACTTATTTTATGAAGTATGTTCTTACATGTGAAATCAGAGCACCATCCCCCAATAAACCAGACAGTTGGGATTTAATATAGGAACGACAAGATGCTGCTGGTTTTCCGTTGGTTCAAGTGCAGATGCAAAGCTATAAGGAAAGGTCTAATGCTTCTGATAAGCCATTATCTGTTGTCAAATCAGAATTCCCCCGCCCACCATTTTAGCATCCTTGTTTATATCTCCCCCAAATAAGCACAGACACAACTTGATGGTATACCAAAATGGCCAGGAGAAGAGGAACAGCAAGAATCATATGTAAATTTTATGTAAAAATTCAGTTGGGATCCAATTTGGTATAGTGGTTAGAGTATCAGGATAGAAACCAGGTTGTAGTGGTTAAGGTGCTAGGATAAAAAACAGGGGACTGTGAGTTCCAACTCTGTCTTATGCACAAAGCCAGCTAAGTGATTCTGAGCCAGTGTCTTTCTTTAAGCCTTAGAAAGCAAGCAACGACAAATCACTTTTGAAAATGTTGCCAAGATTTGTTTGCCAATCCAGTCAAGATTGACTTGAAGAAACAAAAGCAGCAAATAAAGGAATCAACCGTGTGTTGGTCAGGATTGAACTCCAGGCTGTGGACAGAGTTAGCCTGCTATACTGCATTTTAACCATTGTGCTATCATGGTTCCTTAAACAAACAGGAGCATATATCAACATTTCCTACTTTATCTTATCCCAGTGTAATTTTCTTTTCATGTTCCTTTTTTTTGTAAATATTTTATTAATTTTGAGTTTTACAATCATCAGTACTTAATAAACAACTCGGTGTGTGGGTTCCTTTATCATTCAGTATATATTAATTTTCACTCAAGATATCCAATATTACACCATCCAGTATTTCCCTGGTCCTCTCTTCTTCCAATAATAATCATTTTTCCACATTATATAAGTATAATTCTTACTGCTATTAATACCTACACAATTAAATATAAACATCTTCCTCACGTTTCTAATGTTAGTGTCAATAATCAGTTTATATTTTCTGTAGCCAAAACATATCTCAAATGTATTTACAATCAGAGTTCCCTTATTCAATCCGTATCGTTTCTTTTTTTTCAATTTTAATTTCTCATCAATATTCAAAATAACTTTTATCAGTTATCATTTTTCTCATAATTAATTACATTTGGGTAACTAAAAGCTTCCCTTATACTGACCCTCTTTGTGTTTTCATATTTCCCATCTTATGAAAAATTATGTTATCCTAGTTACAAAAACACATCCTTCTAATTTATAATGGTTCTTTTATTTCTAAAAATTATCTATTCTTTTAATTATATTTAAACATTCATTAGATGGTACAATACCTCATCTAATTAGTCAGGACCTCTATTTTCTTCAGTCTTACTCTAGCTTTCTTCCTTTGCCAAATAACTTTGCATGTCAGTGCATTTAGGTCATCAAGTATTTCTTCTTCTGTTTCTGTATATATTATTTGGAATAAAAAAGACAATTTAATTAAAGTGTTTTTGTAAAAACACTTAATCCATTTATATTTGTTAAACAGTCTCCATTTTCTTTCTCCTTCAGTTTTTCTTTGTTTCTTGTTCCCCGGTTTTCAGCATTTCTTCTAACAGCTCTGTCATCCATTCTATCAATTCTTTTTCCTTGTCCTCAAATATGTTCTGAAGTCTTAAAAAGTAAAATGTCTTTCCCATTTCCGATATTATATCTGGCTCTTCCAAATTTTTATTTATCTATGCCTGTCTGTTGGTTTCTTCTTTCGAATCATCTATCTTTATGTCAGTTTCCTCTATTTTTTCTTCTGGTTTCTGAGTTGCTAGTTCATTCTTTATGGCCATTTTCTGAACATTTTTTGCTTGCAAGTTATTTAAATTATTTTTAGTTTCCTCATAATTTAAAACAATTGTCTCTTGAAGAATTTTTTCTGAAGTCCATTTACATTTTCTTATTGATTATCCATATTTCTTCCAAAGAGAAATAGTCCAGAAGCAACTTTCCCACTGTTTCTTAATATTTCTAGGTAATTTTTGAAACTAAAAGTCAGTCAATATTTGTAATCCAGGATGGCCAATTTAGAATGATTGTCTCCTTCATACAGATAAAACAGCCCAGGATTCCCCCCTTTTTTCCAGCTGCAATCTGCAAAAATGAAAGTTTCCAGGAACAACAAAAAACCTTATCTATGTCTGGATTTCATGCCAAATTTTCTTTTAAGCATAATAAATTGTAATACCAAGGTTCACCACTAGATGTTGTTAACACCCATCTTCCAGCTTTAAAGTCCAAACCTATTTCACCAATTTTCTAAATATCTTTTCAAAAAGAAAGTCTTAAAAATACTTTTAGTCCCCAAATTTGTCAAAGCTATGTCTCTATATTAAATCCAAATTAATCTTGTAGTTTTCTCTAATTACCCCCCCCCCCTCCAAGAAAGTTATTCACTGCTTCTCTTTTCCTGAGAGAACGGAGCGGAACTTCACCTTTTCCCCATCATCTGGGGGATTCTTTGCTTTGGGAATTCTTTTTTCCAGGAAGAAGTTTTAAAATTATAAAGAGAGGATCGTTCTCACCCACCTCCATCCGTGTTGTTGAGATTGCTAGTTAGTGCTTATCTTGGGTTGTCAGTGGTTTCTGGCTGGCTACATAAATGTGTCGTCTTTCTTCTGCCAGTTTGAAGGGCTTCTTTGGATCAAAGAGAAGGGCTGCCACCCCTCCACGATCCCCTTCTTTTTCTTCATCTCTCTGGGGCGAATTTAGACCCTTTTTAGGGTCGCCAGCAAAGCAAAATCTGATGTGGAAAACGGAGCATTTTCCTGCGCCCATTATGCCACGATGTCTAACCTGGAAGTCTCTTTTGTTTATTGAAGGAGCTGTGGTGGCACAGTGATTAGAATACAGTATTGCAGGCTATGGAGCCATATATACGTCTAAGTGCTATTGCTATTATTAATGAAAGATACTTGAACTATTATTTCCCCTTTGCCTCCGCCTACTCCACAGCAAGATGAGATAGATGACAAATTATTAACAAATCCCAATCATGTTAATTGTATATAACCTTCAGATCATACAAATAGGATAATTTTTTCCTGTAAGGGGTCCTACTTATGTTCTAATGCAAATGTTTTCCTTCAAATATATAGGACCACTACTACAGCAGTTGACCAACTGCTGCCCAACATTCCTTTTCCAGGAAAATTGTTATGACTTTCTTTTTGAGCACTAAATATAAATTACATATTTGGAAGATACAAAGCAAACCTAGAGAAGCACATATTGTAATGGCAGCTTGATTATAGTAATACAGCATAATACCAACAATTTCTCCAGATGTGAGGTGCTGAATATGCCTTCTTCCAAAACTCAAAAGAAAAACACCTTAACAGGCAGATTTGTCATATTGCATATCTATGTTTATCCCATCAGTTTTTTCCTTGGAATTCATTAACATATTTTCAAAGAAACATGGTTTTTGCTCATATAGAGATTGGCTGTATGCGACTAATCATATACAGATAACTTAAAAAATATACCCTCACCATAATTGATCAACTGGGTAGGGTGTCTGTTATTGTTGAATAACCACTAAATCAGAAATTACAAAATCCACAATTCATTATGCAAATGACGTAAACACAGTGGACAATTTCTGTTTTACTGAATTTGTGAATATTTGGTGATAAACTAAGGAATTTGTCTATATTAGTTTCCTATGTTAACTGCCAGTTAACACAAGCATTTCAAAGTATTTGACATTCTTTTTAAGTGAATGGAAATAGCTGTTTCCATGCTAGGATAAATAACTTATTAATATACCTTCATAAAGCAGAAAGATAAACTCCTAAGAATTCTTCAAGTTATTGAATCAGTCACTGAGAATGTCTTAGTTGCAGTATCCATTGCTAATGCTATTCCATAGTTACATTTTATTTTCTAGCAAAACGTTGGATTAAAAAAAAAATGCAGAACTGTAATCACTCTATATCCCAAAATAGCATCTACTTTGATTGGTTGTCATGCATTTCATCAAGGTCATCACAGAACCCAGTTCTTCTCTTCTCTGCCAAAAACAAAAACAACATGCCTGATCCCAAAGGTTAAATTTCAGGAACTTTCATAAGTGCATATATGTGTTTGTGTGTGTACATATGAAAACTATATCAGGCCAAAAGTTACTTGAAAAGTCCTTAAACTATCAAGTAGCTACTCTAATTGTATAATAAATTTGCAAATCTATGAAGTGAATCTATTGTAAATATGTAGTAACAATACAGACATTTTGTAAAAATTATAAAAAACATTGTGTTACATAATATTGATTGTATATTAAGAAAATAAGAAACCAACAATTACCACAAGGATGAAGACACTGCAAGAGAAACTTTTTTGGGCAAAGACTATGATTATATACGTAGAGAAAGAAAACAAAATATGGTTTGTTAACAGTAGCAAATAATTACAAGAAAATAGAATCTTAGAAATAATTTTCTTTTCTTTTTTACTTGCTTTGTAGAATGCATTGAACAAATCAACAACCTATAATATTGTTCTATTTATACACTACATAACTATACTACCAAATGTGTTTGATACAAAATTATTTTTGTGTAAAATAGATTGTAAATTGTGTTTATTGTTCATTGATCTAAGAAAAGGATCAGGAGCATTTTGTCATTTTGGCTAAAAATAAGAAATTTATATGTATCTTACATTTATAAGAATTGGTTGCTAAAAAAAGGAGAACAGGGAGAACAGAGAAATTAGCAGTTGAACTACTGTGAATAGATTGGACCTTACTTACAGCAGACCCACTGAAATTATGGAATTTAAATTAATAATAATGAAATCAAATGACACACAAAATAATGGATTTATAATAGACTAAATATGGATCTCACCTAGTGATTTTACATGTAGATTGGGATGTAAAAGAGCATTCAAGCATCCTTGGATGATTTCTCAACCATTTTATCACTGATCATCAAATGAACTTTGATAATACTTTTTTCCTATTATAGATGGAAGTATTTAACAAATATATACAATTATTCTTATAAATTAATGATGAATCTAAAAAAGTAATTAATAGAGGAAAAATGAGCTATTTCTATGAGGAAAAGGAAGACTCCAGAGAAATATTGTGATTGCTTCTGGTGAAAATAGAAAGAAGGAATAGGCACCTCTAACAACACAGAAACAAGTGGCACTGTGAAAATCAATATATTAACTGACTGAGGTAATTTTGGTATTGCATATTTTAAATGTCTTATATCAATCTTAACTCTAGATCTATGACTGCCTTCTGCTGGAAAAGCTTGGATTAAAAATATATTGCAAGTTATAATGCATTATGTATTTTAAATGTGCTGTTCTGGTGGCATCAATTTACAGAAATACAGTTCTTTGGTTAGCATTGATACCACACAAGGAACCTGCTTCTTCCTGCAGAAGCGTGGGTCATCAGACTGAGATTCATAGTTTCTTGCTACTCTGTAATTAACCAAGGTCAGAATCTGCAGGATCTCCAAATTTTTGCCATACTCAGTCAGCACTGAGCAAAGAGACTGCACAAACCAGGAGCCTTTCCCTGGATTCCTCCAGGAATAATAACCTAGAAAAAAGAATAGGGAAATGTCCTTTAATGACAGAATTAAGATGTCTTTTAAAGTCAGTAAGGGTAAAATACAGAATTTAACACACAGTGCAAATTTATACTGTAAATTTAGCTATCTAATCCAGTGTTTCCCAAACTTGACAATTTTAAGGCATGAGGACTTCAACTCCCAGAATTCCACAGTCCACATGCCTTAAAATTGTCAAGTTTGGGAAACACTGAGATTCTAATCCAACAATCCATATGCAGAATAATACTAAACTGGAAGGCAGAAATATTGATTCCAAGTGTCTTTCAACCTTCTGGTTTGTACAGTGAGCGCTCATTTACAGACCATAATTTGGACTGGCAACTCAGTTGTTATGTAAAATGGTCACTAATTGAAACTACAATTATGCTTGTGATTTTACTTCGACTTTCCTTTGCTTTACAAACCTGCAAGTCATAAGTGCAAAGTGGTAATTGGTTGCAGTGACTATCTGTACATGTTTCATAGCGCATACATGTGAAATCACCTTTTGCTGCATAGATTCAGTGGGACTGGTATGTTCCGTATCCCATTCAACACTATCATCTTGGGACATGACATTCAGATCTTTGACTTTTCTACCCCCCCCTCCTGCTGTTTGGAACAAAGTCTGCATGCTTCTGATCCATCTATTAGAAAAGTGTTAAAACTGGAGTTACAGTAGGCCCTGCTACAGTGTTTTGTGACTTCTTATGGACACTGATATTGGACATTGTTATTTATAGTATTTTCTTCCCTGATGCTCTGCATTGTGTCTGTTATAAGTTTCTGTTTTCTTTTGCCTTATTCTAAAATATTTATGATATTGTATATCACCGGCTTATAAATTTATTAAATAAATAAATAAAAAGCAAAGAACAAGGAAAAATTATATTCCCTCTATATGTAATAAAACCTTACGACTGTGGGAAATAAAGTGTCTCTGGGATATATATCTCATAGAAAAGGAATTTAGGAATTTTGAATAGGTTGGAACATTTTCTAAAATAAAGAATGGGAAGGTTAAGATATGAAAGATATTTTGAAAGAGACATTGTTTTTCTTGTATGATGAATATCATGATTTTTAATGTCATGATATTCATATTTCATGATATATGACAATTAACTTGTGGAATAGATTGTTACAATATGATAAAAATATCAGCATTTTTATAACTTAAGAGAAAATCAATACTTAAAAATAATTCAATTAATGGGTACGAGCCATGTTAACCAAAAACAGAATTTGCACTTGTGTATGAGATGGTTTCTTAGAACAGAGGTTCTCAACCTTTTGGGCACCAAGTACCATTTCCGTGGAGAAAGGTTTTTCTGTGGACAGGAAGGTGTGTGGTTTTGTGTGCTGCCTGCATCTCGCGGATCGGGCTTTCTTGTTTATGCGGCCTGGCTGCTGGCATGCTGCAGCCCAATACTGGTCCATGGACTGGGGATTGGGGACTTCTGCCTTTGAACATGCTTCTGAGTTTATGAAGGACACTTGCTAGACCATTGATGAAGTTATACTAATCAATCATAGCAACCCTCAATTTATTTTTTTATTCCAGGTAGTTCTTGACTTATGACCATTCATCTACTGTGTTTCCCCGAAAATAAGACTCAGCCAGAAAATAAGCTCTAGCATGATTTTTAGGATATTCTTAATATAAGCCCTACCTCGAAAATAAGCTCCAGTTAAGATTGTCAGTACCGCACATCCGCTGCAACACAGAAAGTGACCAATGCACGGGAGCTGACAGTGTCTGGTAGCTGCCGCAACCCGCCAGCCCCTTGGCCTGCGCACTCTGGGGCTGCACAGCCTGTGCATGCACAGGTGAATCTGAGTGCTATGACTGCCAGCCTGGCCCTCCAAACAGCAGGTGGAGGCAGAGGGCCAGCGGGCTGTGGCTACTGAGAGACATTGTTGGCTCCCGTGCACTTGCTGCCTCCTGTATGTGTGCTAGGAGGGCACCCGGCAGAGCCGGTTCTGGATGACAGGGGCCGGTCCCTCATCATCTCTGGGGCAGCTCTGCAGGCCAGATATAGACCTATCATGGGCCAGATCCAGCCATGGACCTTGTGATCAAAAAAATAAGACATCACCTGAAAATAAGCCCTAATGGGTCTGTTGGAGCAAAAATTAATATAAGACCCAATCTTATTTTTGGGGAAATACAGTAACAACCATTTGAAGTTATGATGGCAATAGAAAAAGTGATTTATGACCAGTCCTTGTTCTCATGACCATCTGCTGACTCGCTGAACAGTCGTGAATCAGCAATGGAAACTTAGCATTGTAAGTTGAGAACTACATGAATTCTATTTGGTAGAGGTATGCAGCTCTACTGAAATGAGAATGGATGGGGTTCCTGTACTTGCCAGCAGCTTGGTGAAGAAGGTGTGCATTTTGCTGGACTTGAATAGAAGATCCAGGACACCAGGAAAAAATAGGTGTTGGAGTTAAGGAGGAATTGAGAAATTTGCAACAGAGCACTTTTCACTACCCACCATTATCTCTTTCACTCACACGTGTATGTGCCTGGGACTGCACAAATCTACGAACAGGCATGTTTGTTTTACAGAACTGCTGATAGACTAATTTTCCTATTTATATAGTTGTGAGATAACAAACTAGCCCCAATTAGATAATGATCTCCCATTACTGTTTTAGCATGCATCATCTAATACCTGCCAGATGCTTAGTCATCACTAGAATTCACTGTAAAGAAAATATGCTTCCCCCCAAAATAGCCTTTACTCAAATAATCACTTTTCAAATGCCTACATTTTCTGTCACACTTTATGCCTGACTCATCCTATATCAAATTGTTACTCCCCCCCCCCCAAATGTACCTGGCACAGTGGAATATGCATACAAAAAATCTGCCTCAACTGGAATCTTGTATCTTGGATTGGCATCCATTTCCAGGGTGTCATTTGAAGAACCTGAATCTGTCTGAATCCCATTATCAAATTCAGAACCTCGGCATGCCTGAAACCATAATATTAAACAGTAAGGCATAATTTGCGTATGTATAAATGGCACATGGTAAACAAAAAATCATAACATTTTATGATAGTTCTCTAGCAGATTCATTTGGTGACTGAAGAAGTACTTGCACTTTGTAAAATTAAATACTGTACATTAATGAATTCGACCAGGATAACCACTGAAGTGCACATTAATGACTTCTACTACTGATAAGCAGCAAAGAGTTCCATCAAAAATGCTTTAAGTCTGAGGGCTGCAGCATAAATGTTCCAGCTGCATTTCATTTACTAGACTATGCGTAAACGGTCAAGCTGTAGCTAGTGGGCATAAGATTTATTATTCATAAAGCATCCAAAATTATACTCATACCTAGTTTGGGGAGATATATTTGCCCCTGGTCTATCCAAAAGACAGAATAACGAAGAAAAAACCCTTGCTTTTTAGTCACAAGGTAAACAACGAGAAGAGAAGGTCTGGAGAGATAAAGCTGCACAGATTTGACAACTGTGCTTGAGATATGAAGCTTCCTTATATTCAAAGTCAATCTAGCTTTGTACTGGGCCATCTAGCAAAATTCACATTGATAGGATTAGACCTCATATATGTCAACAAAAGTAATCTCAGCCCAGCTATGCTTAGTGTCGTTTTCCTACACTGAAGAATGAAGTATTATAGAACAATGGGCCACCGCATCCCACAAAAGGGTAAAAGGGTAAAAGGAGAACAATCAAGTTGTGACCTGCTATGGCATGTGCAGTACAAAAAGAGAAAGATTTAGACTTTTCAAGAAATGATGAAGACAGCCCATATTTTCTTCAAAGATCACAAATGTAGTTATATGATACTTGAATTTTGGACCCTTTTTACTTGCAGTTTTGGTGGTGTTTTGAAATATATGGGTATGCCAGGCTATTTCTAGCTTTGTTTTGTTTTGATAAACATTCCATCCTTTAAGAACTAAAATTAGCAAACATCTTCTTACCTGAATAAAGAACAGTTTGGGTTTTCCAATTAGACTTTGGCATTTGTCTCCTCTGAAAAGTGCTGTCAAATCTTTGATTGCCATGAATGCATCTGTGCCGTAGATGCGGCCTTCATCTCCATGGCTTAATAATATGCAGGAAAAACAAGCAGCATCACTGTGATCTTCATTGGCAACTACAAATCAACCACATCTCCCATCATTAAACGAACATGTCACTCAGCTCTACTTAGTAATATCAACTAAAAAGGGCATTTTTCCAACTAGGTCTTTTGTCTTCCTGCTGCTTGAAGCTTACGATTTTTAAAGTACTGGTTTTAATTTAAAGAGTATTTGGTTTTATAAACCACTCTGAGATTCTGTGCATGAAAACAGGAACATAGTTTTAACAATAAATAATCTTAAAAATTACAAGTGCTAAAATTGGTATACAATTTGAGGATCATAAAGCTCCAGAGAATTGATATGTGATTTATTATTCTTTCTCTCAACCTGTGACAATGTGTTGAGCCTACAATTTCAGGAATTCCCAGACATCTGGTTATGCATTTTTAAGTAGTTATCAGCTTGGCATCAACTTAGAAAAAGTTGTCCAACTAGATTTCAAGATAATACAGTGGGGCAAAAAAGTATTTAGTCAGCCACCAATTGTGCACGTTCTCCCACTTAAAAAGATGAGAGAGGCCTGTAATTGTCATCATAGGTAGACCTCAACTATGAGAGACAAAATGAGAAAACAAATCCAGACAATCACATTGTCTGATTTGGAAAGAATTTATTTGCAAATTATGGTGGAAAATAAGTATGTGGTCACCTACAAACAAGCAAGATTTCTGGCTCTCACAGACCTGTAACTTCTTCTTTAAGAGGCTCCTCTGTCCTCCACTCATTACCTGTATTAATGGCACCTGTTTGAACTTGTTATCACTATAAAAGACACCTGTCCACAACCTCAAACAGTCACACTCCAAACTCCACTATGTGAAGACCAAAGAGCTGTTGAAGGACACCAGAAACAAAATTGTAGACCTGCACCAGGCTGGGAAGACTGAATCTGCAATAGGCAAGCAGCTTGGTGTGAAGAAATCAACTGTGGGAGCAATAATTAGAAAATGGAAGACATACAAGACTACTGATAATCTCCCTCGATCTGGGGCTCCATGCAAGATCTCACCCCGTGGGGTCAACATGATCACAAGAACGGTGAGCAAAAATCCCAGAACCACACAGGGGGACCTAGTGAATGACCTGCAGAGAGCTGGGACCAACGTAACAAAGGCAACCATCAGTAACACACTATGCCGCCAGGGACTCAGATCCTGCAGTGCCAGACATATCCCCCTGCTTAAGCCAGTACATGTCCGAGCCCGTCTGAAGTTTGCTAGAGAGCATTTGGATGATCCAGAAGAGGACTGGGAGAATGTCCTATGGTAAGATGAAACCAAAGTAGAACTGTTTGGTAGAAACACAACTCATCGTGTTTGGAGGAGAGAGAATGCTGAGTTGCATCCAAAGAACACCATACCTACTGTGAAGCATGGGGGTGGCAACATCATGCTTTGGGGCTGTTTCTCTGCAAAGGGACCAGGATGACTGATCGGTGTACAGGAAAGAATGAATGGGGCCATGTATCGTGAGATTTTGAGTGTAAACCTCCTTTCATCAGCAAGGGCATTGAAGATGAAACGTGGCTGGGTCTTTCAGCATGACAATGATCCCAAACACATCACCCGGGCAACGAAGGAGTGGCTTCGTAAGAAGCATTTCAAGGTCCTGGAGTGGCTTAGCCAGTCTCCAGAACTCAACCCCATAGAAAACCTTTGGAGGGAGTTGGAAGTCCGTGTTGCCCAGCGACAGCCCCAAAACATCACTGCTCTAGAGGAGATCTGCATGGAGGAATGGGCCAACATACCAGCAACAGTGTGTGCCAACCTTGTGAAGACTTACAGAAAATGTTTGACCTCTGTCATTGCCAACAAAGGATATATAACAAAGTATTGAGATGAACTTTTGATATTGACCACATACTTATTTTCCACCATAATTTGCAAATAAATTCTTTCCAAATCAGACAATGTGATTGTCTGGATTTGTTTTCTCATTTTGTCTCTCATAGCTGAGGTCTATGAAGACAATTACAGGCCTCTCTCATCTTTTTAAGTGGGAGAACTTGCACAATTGGTGGCTGTCTAAATACTTTTTTGCCCCACTGTAGTTAAGTTACAAAAAAAAAATCAGTACCTTCACCAAGGATTTCCCTCATTTTCTTACAGCTGAGATCATTATAGATGGAAACATCAAAACCAATGTCCCGAAAACATTTTTGCAAGTCACCAGCATCCTTGTCAGTACCATTTCGTATACACATCCCTAAGCCAAAACAAATGAATGTCACAACCAGCTGTGTGAAATAATATTTTATATAAGCAGTTTTATAACCTATAGCTGTGCATAATTTCCACATAATCATTTGTCTAATATTTGCTGAAGCTCAAAGTATGCTATTTTTACTTTTCTATAGTGGCAAGTAACTGCATTGAAAGGGAATGAGCCACCAACTACAATTATGCTTGCATGGTAATTGAGACTAAACATAATATTTAAATAAGAATTTCTTTAAAATGCAAGGAAACAAACAGAAGAACAAAACCCTCCTTTTAAAAAAATAGAGGCAAACTAAGAACTAAATTTATGATCAAAAAATAAAAACTCCTCCAAAAGAGCTACTTGATATTTAGAACAACTTTTCAAAACCAAAGATTTTTGTAAACAAAAAATTAGTTTTAATTATAACTATCATGCTGGGCTACAGTCATCTGACTGTTAAGATGGCTACAACAAAGTCATACAGGTATTAATGGTATCTTTCTCCCCCCTCCCCCAATTAATTCGTTATAGCCTATTTAACAGCTTGGCGGAGGCAAAACAAGAATTCTAAAATCCACAATGAATAGAGTGGATTACAGTTAAACTCTGGCTTGGTAAATTTTGGATTTAGCAGACAATTTGAATTTGAACTAACAATAACAACAACAACAACAAAAGATTTGTTTTTTGATAAGACAAGGAACTGGCAGATGTGATATCGGAGCCACTGAACTATATTTTTCAAAGATCCTGGAACACAGGGGAACTACCAGAGGACTGGAAAAGAGCTGATGTAGTTCCCATCCTCAAAAAAGGAAAAAAAATGGATCCAGGAAATTACAGACCTATCAGCCTGACCTCAATACCTGGGAAGATCCTGGAAAAGATAATCAAACAATGAATCAACGAACACCTAGAGGCAAACAAAGTCATTACTAAAAGCCAACATGGGTTTGTCAAAAATAGATCATGCCAGACAAATCTTATTGCATTCTTTGACCAAGTGACAAAATTAGTGGATCAGAGGAATGCTGTGGACATAATTTACTTGGACTTCAGTAAGGCATTTGATAAAGTAGATCACAACCTACTACTTGACAAGATAGAAAAATGTGGGGTAGACAGAACCACCACCAGATGGATCCGTAGCTGGCTGACCGGCCGTACTCAGCGAGTGGTCCTCAATGGAACTGCATCTATATGGAGGGAAGTGTGTAGTGGGGTGCCCCAGGGCTCTGTTCTGGGCCCAGTACTCTTCAACATCTTCATCACCGATTTGGATGAAGGGATAGATGGGGAACTCATCAAATTTGCAGACGACACCAAGCTGGCAGGAATAGCCAACACTCCAGAAGACAGGCTTCAGATACAGAAGGATCTGGACAGACTTGAACACTGGGCACTAACTAACAAAATGAAATTCAATGGTGAAAAAAGCAAGGTTCTACATTTAGGCAAGAAAAACCAAATGCACAAGTACAGCATAGGTGGCACCATGCTCAATAGTAGTAACTGTGAGAGGGACCTCGGAGTCATAGTAGACAATCACTTAAATATGAGCCAGCAGTGTGCTGCAGCTGCCAAAAAGGCCAACACAGTGCTAGGCTGCATTAACAGAGGGATAGAATCAAGATCACGTGAAGTATTAATACCACTCTTCAATGCCTTGGTAAGGCCACACTTGGAATACTGCATCCAGTTTTGGTCACCACGATGTAAAAAAGATGTTGAGACTCTAGAAAGAGTACAGAGAAGAGCAACAAAGATGATTAGGGGACTGGAGGCTAAAACATATAAGGAACGGTTGCTAGAATTGGGTATGTCTAGTTTAACGAAGAGAAGGACACGGGGGGACATGATAGCAGTATTCCAATATCTCAGGGGCTGCCATAAAGAAGAGGGAATTAAGCTATTTTCCAAAGCACCTGAAGGCAGGACAAGAAGCAACGGGTGGAAACTAATCAAGGAGAGAAGCAACCTAGAACTAAGGAGAAACTTCCTGACAGTGAGAACAATTAATCAGTGGAACAGCTTGCCTCCAGAAGCAGTAAATGCTCCAACACTGGAAGTTTTTAAGAAGAGACTGGACAGCCATTTGTCCGAAATGGTGTAGGGTTTCCTGCCCGAGCAGGGGGTTGGACTAGACGACCTCCAAGGTCCCTTCCAACTTTACTACTATTACTATTACTATTACATAACTTCACCCAGTCTGGAAAAGTGAGGCTTACTGTATTTTTTTTTTTATTAAAAAAAGTTTACGTTCCAATACTAATAGTCCTTGGTTAACAACAACAAATCAGTGAGCATTTGAAGTTACAGTGGCACGCAACATTTTTTTCTCTAAGGAATCTGGCAATGAAGTAAAGGTCCTGAGGATCCTATATCCCGTAGTACATGCCTATCCACAGCATCTAGCTATAGATTTGTTCTGGGTATAATTCAAGATGCTGGCTGTCACTTTTAAAGCCCAAAACAGCTTGGGACGAGGTTATCTAAAGGATTGTCTCTACCAGTACATCCAGCTAACCGATCACTGTGAGGAGGCAAGGAATGTTGCAGTTCCCCCCCTCTTAAGGAAGTACATCTTGTGGGACTCAGAAGAAGGGTCCTTTGTGTGCTGGTTACCTTCCTTTCCATTCTCATGGAGGTTAGACTTTGACATTCTTTCACAAGGCCCTGGTTTTGCCAATGGGTCTGGGAAACCTGGAGTGAGTTCAAGTGGCTTGTTTCAGCAGATGTGTGTGTATGTGTGTTTGTGTGTGTGTGGGGGGGGGGGGTTTGTTTCTACTATTTGTATATGGTTTTTTATTTTTTGTAAGTCGCCCAGAGTCATTGAAAGAGAGTGGGTGGCCACATAAACTCTCCAAAAACAAACAAACAAATAAATATATTGCTTGTACCACATAGTCTACACCTATCTTGACTGGCACTGTGCCAGTCACTATATACCCTTCTGCACCTGGCCGCAGCTCCACCCAGCAGTCACTTATCTGCCTGCCAGACTACTTGCAAGCCATCTAGTACTTGTGACTTCCTGTCGGTGTTATCCTTGAAGTGCTTGCTTTTTGGAAGCAGGCAGAAAGTCACAAGGAAGTTCTCACTTAATGAGCCACAATTCTAAATAACAAATAGGAACTGCTGTTGTTAAACGATGTGGTACGTGACCTCACATCTTACTACCGCATTGTTAAGCGACAGAAATTACACCCCCAATTGCTGTTGTTAAGTGAGGTCTACTTATACATTATTTTAACCAAGGTCAGGTTTGTACTAAAACAAGAAGTCACTTAATATCAGCACACTGTGAAATATCACTTATTAAAAGTATTCACTTTAAAAAGTTTACACATCTTTTTAAAAGTTATCACAAGAAATTAGTGTGCAAGTAGAAGAATAAAGGAGTACCTGTATCTTTTGCAAAGTTCTTATTGTTTATAATAATGCATTTACCAAGCTTCTTAAAGGCTATATTATATTGGAACGTAGGGATAATAATTCGATATTGGTTACCAGAAGAATCCTCTGGTTGACCTTCCCATTCATTCTTCTTTTTTCTGTGGAAATAGAACTAAATGTTATTGTGAAAAGAATGCAAATGATCTCCAAACAATCCACTAACTACCCATCTGTCTAATGAAATTAAAACACATATAATTAAAATGGCTTGTAAAAATAAGAGTGCATTACTCACAATATAGTGGAGTCCAGTGATGGCTTACTGAGGAGTTGGAAAACCAAAGCCTCCTTTAGAGGTAAAGGAACAATCCCTTCACTTAAGAATTATGCTTTACTAAAGCTACTCATACAACATCCCCAGGGCGCTTTAACCAGCCTGAAGGGCTGTAGATCTAAAGAGCACATGGCTGAGCTCAGAGCCCTAAAAACCCTGTCTACTTCCTGAGGCAATGAAGATTATCAGAAAACTGGAAAATAAGTCTTACATGACTGTAATCTTATTCTCTCCACTGATGACTTCTACAGTATATATTTTAGCTATTAACAAAGATAAATGTTCACCATAATTTTTGCTAGTTTGTTACCTTTGAAGGTTAACACTTGCTCAGTGTTGAACATAGTCATCGACTAATGCAGATTTTATTCCTTTATCTTTAATTTAACTACATTTATCCTTATTTTGTTCCTTATGTATACTCTTTAATATTGATCTCTTCACCATAAAATATGTACTCTTTAATAATATTGGTCTCATCGCCATAATAAAATGTGTTTAAGCAATTGAACAATGGAATTATAACACATGAAGATATATTCCAATTGAGTGATAGGAAAAAAAAGAGTAACAATTCAACAATGTAATCAACTGCCAAGACAGATAATAGGTTTTCATTAATGAGTTTAGTGCAAGAGGCTAGATAACTACAGTACTTGGTAAAGATGAGTTTCATTTCCTAATATCCTAATGGTCCATTTCAACTCAAGGTTTCTAGGATATACCTAGTTATAGTCTCCCTGTTAGTCTTTTGGCAAAGGACTAGGACAAACAGGATCTTATCCAACAAGCAGACCTCACCAATTTGGTATTCAGGAATATTTGAAGTTACATTTTATCTAATAGGTGTTATTAAAAACTCAGGGATTAGTCAAGATCTACATGTTACCTTACTTTCTTCACCTATTTTAAAGTAACAGTATGTTTAGAACCATATCGGTCTAGACTCAGATTACCGGAAATTACCCAAATTTTATGAGAAATGTTTGGCAGGACATTAAGGAAATAAATCTGCAATGTACATTCCACATGTTTTGGAAATTCCTGTATTTCTCTGAGAAAGCAAATAATTAACTGCCTCGATAATAATGGAAGATCACTGATTTAATGAGATTTTTTTTAATTTATGGTCAGCTCAATTGCTTAAGACAGAAACAAAGTTTCATTGTCTTCTAGAAATCAATAATAAGCCTAGAGCCTACAAATAGAAATACAAATGCAAGTTTAAGGAAAGATATATCATCTATGTAATATTTCTATTACTGATTACAGTGAACTATTGTTTCCTCCTTAAACAATTATGCAATTATCATAAAAAACCACAATTTGTTACTTCACAAAATGGGTTTTATCTAATTTACAGCCTTTTTTTATTATCTATGCATGTTACAAATACAAAACGTAACATCAGACACATCCTGGCTACTGCTTTATTTTACACATGTTAATTCTTTAATTCCTCTAACAAATGTATGATTCTACACTATACACTTTTATGGTCAATCTATTATAAAATGATTTTTCAAATTTTAATTCATTTTAATTTTCAAATTTTAATTCATTCCCTTGAATGAATAGGAAAAAGAAAGAACGGTACCTTGGTTCTTCATCAAGTGGTACACTCTTCTGCATCTGAAAAATATGTCCACCTTATGCTGAGGGATAATTATTATCTTTTCTAATAATGCGAGCATCTCATCATGCTCACACAACACCAGAAACTGAAACAAACTACAATGTGTTCACAGACTCAACAATTTGTCTGTGTCAGCAATAGGTCACGCTGGATTTTTCTATAAGGCTATTGAAAGGGCCATTACTATGGCCTAACACGTAGCTTAGGTCATGTAAGCCTCTTCTGCTCTAGCTGAAAGGCAGAAAAGAGGTACTTGCATCAATGTTATTTTATTATTGCAGTGTTGTTATAGTACAGAATGCAGGAATGCATACAAAAGGCAGGTGCAACACACTGCACATTCAAGCAGGAAGATATCCATTAAAGCCAAGATCCAGCTTTGAATATTCACTCTCACAATTTACTAATTCAAAGGGGGAGAAAACCTTTCCACTGCATTTAAAGCAATACTATACATTTGTTTGTTTGTTTATTTATCCTATTTCTAAACACCCAGCTCCCTCAAAGAGGAGTGTACAATATAATATAATCAATAAACAATGTATAAAAGTTATCATTAGAAATTAAAAATTAGGGTTAAAATTTCAAAATTATAGAATAATGACAATTAAACATCAAAATGGGATGGAATCCTAAGATGGCCATTTAGCATTATATTCTTACAGATGGGAAAGAGGTTCTCAAGGAAATTACTTGTAAAAATATTTTTAATTCATTCACGTCCTTATTAAATATATTTACGTCCTTCTGCCCTGTGAAAATGTTACACTCATTACATTTTTCTGATATATTTACTTACAAACCTCAACCTCAATTGAAAAATAATTAAACTAATTAACTACAACAGACACATGAATTTGATTGAAAGAGGTAAACGAGAACTCATATAATCAAGTGTAGAGAAAATAAATATTCCAGCAAAATAATATGGTGATGTAAATATCACAGGGTGCAACAGTTTAGGCCTTTTCCTTAACACCTGAAGTAACAAAATGGTAAAACCAACACAAAATGTAAGAATTAACTCACAAATCTAGATTAGCTTTAATGAAGATGAAATAATTTAATTTTTGGATGTGACCATCTGTAGTTAAAGATTAAATTTTGGATGTTTTACTTCATTTATATTTGTTGCATTTTCAAACAATTTTATGTGCAAATTGAAACAAAAATACTAAGAAATGTGATATAAACCTTCCACCATCTTTTCTAATTTTTTAAAAAAGAAAAATAAAAATAAATGCTAGGGGTAAAGAGAAAAAAAAAGCTCCTTTAAGAATTTCCGCCCCCTAATTTTTGTTATTTATTTTTTCTGAGTATTTGTATTTTGTTAGATTTTTATCCTGCTATTATTACTTGATAAGTAATTTAAGGCAGTGGACATAACATAATACTCATTTCTCCTATTTTACCAAGAACCTCAATCCTGTTAGGTGAGTTGGAATGAGAGTAACCAAAATCACCCAATCAACTTTCACACCTAAGGCAGAACTAGAATTCAGTCTCCTGGTTTCCCATCAAATAGAATGAGCACCCAACAGAATTATGCATAAATTATTTATCTATTTCAAAATAGCAAAACTAGTGAACATACATATATGTGTATGATATATGAACATGAATTTAGAGAACTGACACACAAAAATCTGATGTATGTGTAAATTTGCCCTAAACCTATTTGTACATTTGTCATATTCCTTTAGCATATTTCATCAGATGAGATTCTAGAGTAACATATATTGGTGAACTGCACATTTGACAGAACAATAAGTTTCTTATTTAAAATTACATTGGCCTGCCACCTTGTGGGCAAACCATGCACTTTTTTATCCTTTTAATTTTTTTTTTAAATGAATGGCCTGTCTGATATTTTTTTCATTTAAAAAAAAGAAAGAATCGGGCTTAAGACCAATTGATTAGATTTAAATATTTTTTTAAATTTTTTTTTATAATTTTTTATAATCTGTACTGAAGTAAGGTTTTAACAATGTTTTGTGAAGTGATCTGAAAGGGAAAATGTAATTCGGAGAGCACATAATTGTGCGTACACTCAGCTGTCAGTAATTGTTCAGTTGTCAGGCTCAGGTGTGATTCTGGCAAGAGGCTTCTGTGATTTAAGGAAACAAAGACAGGTGCAACAAACATGCCCACCCAAGCTTCTAATCACCTTTCCCATCCTTGCTACAAGCCATATCTTGCATAGAGAAATCTGCTTTTGTGAAATGTTCAAATGGAAGGAATGAGGATAGGCTTCCAACTGAATTTTATCTCACTTGAATACGTGTCTCTCACTAGAGACATTCTTATCAGAAACAGACAAAAACATACTCCACTTCTCTTTTCTTCACATCCCTCATCTCTTATGTTGTTAAGCCATGTTTTAGCAATGGAAACAAAAAAAGTGTAATGCCCCATACATGGGACAAAGTACTCTCTATTTATTAGCAACAGAGTGCCTGTCTGTGCTTGTAATACTAAACATTGTTTTTCTTCTCCAACAAAAATGCTTCTCTTGCTTTTGGATATACACATATGATATGCAAGCTATGTACCTTAAAGTCAGTTTATTGAAAACTGTTTGTGTGAAAATGTAAACTAAGTTAGAAAGAATAACATAATCCTTAAGAGAATCACTTAAGCCAATCTTACACCCTCCAGTTGTGATTGCTAGTGTACTTCCATACCCATATTATTATCTGGAAACTGAAACATCTAAATATGATGTGGTGGTTATCAGTTGGGAAAGCTGTATTGTACAGTATGTATGATCCCAACAAAGCTTTAACAACCTAAAAACACACATCCCTAATTTTTGTCAGTCTGTTTTGACGAACAGATTCAGGTTGCTTAAATGATTTGCACCGATAAACAAAACAGAGCCAGTTTGGTCCTATACTAAAGGCAGCAGACTGGAAACTGATAAATTGGGAGTTATAATCCTTCTTTAGGCATGAAATCTGGGTTATCTTAGACCAGACATGTCAACCTCAAGGCCTACAGGCCAGATCTCTCCCCCCCCCCCCCAGTGTGTTTAGATCTGGCTCATAAGCAGACTATTAGGAGAAGCTGATTAAGTATGTAGCAAGGTGTGTGCGTGTTGAAGCAGCAGCAGGGCCTGAGGGAGAGTGAGTTGGAGTTGAGGTCTTGCTGGGGCTCTGCTGAGGCTCCAGGATCAGTGTACATGGCTCCAGCTGATCAGGACTTCTGGTGGCCTCAGTGGTGGCCGGCAACCGCACGCAGTCGGGGGGGGGAGGGAGAGAGTCAGCTGGAGCTACGGGGCTGTTGGGGCTCCAGCTGACTCTTCCCCCCAGACTGCATGTGGCAACTGGCCACCTTTGAGGCCGCCAGAAGCCCCAACCAGCTGGAGCTATGTGCACTGATCCCGGGTTCTCAGCTCCACTGGGGAAATGAGTGAACACATGGGGGAGGAGAGGAGATGTTATAAAAGGAGGGAAAGAGGAGTGAGGGGGGAAGAGAAGGCGATGGAGAAGAGAGATGTCTGTTGGGCAAGCCTGAGGGACAGAAGCCTGAGACAGCAACTGGCCCTTTGAGGACAATCATAATGCTGATGTGGCCTTCAGTGAAATTGAGTTTGACACCCCTGTCTTAGACAATCTCTCTCTCTCTCTCTCTCTCTCTCTCTCTCTCTCTCTCTCTCTCTCTCTCTCTCTCTCTCTCTCTCTCTCTCTCTCAGCCTTAGGAAGCAAGCAATGGTAAATTACTTCTGAAATCTGGCCAAGGAAACTGGACAAGGCAGTTGCCAGGAGTCAACATTGAGTTCAAAACATCTCTCCTCCCAAGTAAACATCCCTGTAGTATAAGACTAGGAAAAAAGTTCTGAAAAAGCTTTCACCTGTTTAGATCAGGGCTTTTCAACCTTTTCAACCATTGTACCATTTTTAGGATATGGCAATATCTGAGTACCGCCAGTCGCCTAGCAAGATGTCAAAAACTTGATGACAAAAAAAGGAGGAAAAAAGTGATATAGTACAGGTAGTCCTCGACTTACAACAGTTCGCTTAGTGATTGTTCAAAGTTACAAAGGCATTGAAAAAAGTGCCCCCCAAGCCATAGCCGAGCAAGACTCCTGCCTGCCCGCCCGGTGGTGCTCTTCCTCCTGTCCGAGGTTTTCATTGTTGTGAGCATTTCTGTTGAGGATTGGCAGTGGGGGTGGGGTATGTTTGGTTTTTATTCCCCCTGTCTGCTGGGTGGTTGCAGCAGGTTTTGGTCATTTCACATGACCCTGGGACACTGTGACCATCATAAATATGAATCAGTTGCCAAGCATCTGAATGTAAATCACAAGACCCTGGAGATGCTGCAACATTTCAGCTGATCGGCACTTCTTCTGGGCTCAGCAGAAGCGCCAGGATCAGCGCCGAGCTCCAGCTGGAGCCTGGCGCTGATCCTGGCACTTCCTCTGAGTCCTGACAGCCCTGCAGCTCCAGCCATCTCTCGTTCAGGCTAGTGCGGGGCTGCCACCTGTTCAGCTCATTCCCCTCCCCCGCTACTTTTCTAGGATAGTCGTGTACCACCTGCCAGGTGCCAATGTACCACAGGTGGTACCCGTACCACTGGTTGAAAAGCCCTGGTTTAGATCATCAAGTTTTATAAGCACAGATGTTGCAGAATGAGAAGCTGAAACCTTTATTGGCTTTCAACTCTTTCAGATTGCAAAATAGAAAACTGCTAGAACCTATGATCAAGATCCAAAGAGGGGATAGACAATTGGCTATGCACAAGTGAATTTTTCTTTGGCCTTAGGCTCTTCTGAAACCTCCCTCATGAAACCCTAGTTTGATATTCCACTATACTACTATAAGCCCATCTTAAAGACAAGACTTGGACTATTGTGTAATAAACATAATAAAAAAAGTAAAATAAAAGGTTTCATATGCTATGCCTGCCAAAAAAGTAAATCAATTTTACTCAAAAATTTAAGAATTTATAATCAGTTTTTTAGAATAAACATTTTTTCCAGGACAGCTTATAGTCAGTATCATAAAATCCTGTTAGAAAGCATTTTAAAACCACTATCTAAAAACATTAAATAGGGACATAAAACAATTCTTCATCCCTGTTAATAAAATTTTCAAAACAGAAATCCAGTGACAATTTAAAATCCAGTCTATTTCCTTAAATGTTTGAGGTGACTGGTCATATAAAACACATAAATAAAATAATTGGGGATGGTAATAAACATTTCTCTCTAAGTAGAGATTTTCATGGAGTCTGCAAAAATCAAACTTTTGAATGTCAAATGTTTTATTTCAAAGGGAAGATGGATTGATTCAGTGTTAAAATGTTTCATGCTTCACATCTATTGAATGCCAAATCCCTAACTTTTGTTGCTAACCTTTTGTTCAATCAAGCATGACTTTCAGTAGCAGAAATAGTAGACCAGGGGTCCCCAACCTATTGGCTGTGGCCTTTTGGCTACGGACTGTATGAAGGGATGGCCAGTTCCCGTGCATGTGTGTGTGCATTCACTTCCCACACTTGTGCTAGCTCCACCCCGAGCATCCTGCTGGTGCTAGCGTCACTCCTGAGTGTCCTATTGGCACTAGTGCCGCCCTGACCATCCTGCCAGCACTACCGCCCCTAAACATTCTACCGCCACTAGTGCAACCTCAGGCATCCTGCCGGTGCTAGCACCACCCCATTTGTAGCACTCGCACAGCCCCATTTGCGCATGTACTTGTGCACGGCCCATTTGCCTGCCTCCCTTTCCGGGCCGCCAAACCAAAAAGGTTAGAGACCTCTAGTAGACTATATTATGAAAATATAATAGTAAACTATCAAAACTCTTCAGAGTAAGTTACCATTTGGACCCCATAATCATATGAATATACTTTAAAATATTTGCACAAATGACTAATTGAAGTAAATATTCCCAACTGTTTTAATTTACAAAAAAAGTCATAAAAAATTGAAAGTGATTTTTCTGTGAATATATCAAAAGATCATAAACATTCCTGTGTCACAGCATTATTTGTTCACATTGTTTGCCACAGATGAACTGTAATCATAACTTTTTGTATACCTATTTTATACAAATTAAGATTTCTAATTTAAAAATTAATTTTCTTACTTTGCAAAGATGGATAACCGATCAGTTCTTGAAGGTTTTGCATCCACATAATCATTTATAGTATTTTCAGCCATCAGTGGTAACACAGAAACAGAATCTTCTGCCAATATTTAGATCTGCAATCAATATTCTTACAATTATTATCATTTTAGATAGCATGATGTTTAGCAAGTTTTTTTTCCAGAATATCATACAAAGAAATCATTAAAAAAAGCAATTTACAAATGGATGTCCATTTAAACAAATAATAGTATTAGTTTTTCTGAACAAACTTCTTGTATATTTTTTCAGTAAGACAAATTTTTTTACTTCGTTAGTTATCTAAAAATAACAATATTGAAACTTGCAAGATATAAGCTGATTTAAACATTGTTACCACAGGAATTCCCAACACCTGGTCCGTGGACCAGCCCCAGGCCGCTGCATGCCAGAAATGGGTCCGTGCAAACAAAGCCCCACCCACAGGATGTAGGCAGCGCGCGAAATCATGCCCCTTCCAGTCTGTGGAAAACCTCTCTCCATGGATCTGGTCCCTGGTGCCCAAAAGGTTGGGGGCTACTGGTTTACCACAGTGTTTTTCAAAGTTGGCAAATTTAAGATGTGTGGATTGAAGTCCAAATTGTTGGCTGTGAAATTATCAGAGTTAAAAGTCCATACATCTTAAAAGTTGCCAACTTTGAAAAACACTAAATTATCTGAATAATAAACAACTATCAGTCACTGTATTCATAGTGGACAGCATTGAGAAAGAAAAATCTACAATACATAAATACAAGTTACAAGAATTTCTTTTCCAATTTTCATCGCAACTCAGATGATCCCATTTGAGTTTCTTTTAATAAATCAGGTGAAATAATTACACAGATTTAATACTATTTTACTTAATTTAGATTGCTCTCTAGCTTTATGTCCTGGATATTTATATTTTAATTTATTTATCTTACATTGTTCTAAGCTCAGTTAAAGAAACATAGAACAGAGCTATTTCTTTCATATATCCTTAGTAGATCTAGGATCTAGGATCGACTTACCACAATTGAGCCCAAAATTTCCATTCCTAAGCAAGACAGTTGTTAAGTGAATTTTGCTCCATTTTATGACCTTTCTTGTCACAGTTGTTAAATGTAAGATCACTGCAGCTAGTAGTAATACAGTTGTTAAGGGAATCTAGCTTCCCCATTGACTTTGCTTGTCAGAAGGTCACAAAAGCTGATCACATGGGCCCGGGACACTATAAATATTGTAAATGCATGCCGCTTGCCAAGCGTATGAACTTTGACCCACATGACCGTGGGGATATTTCAACGGTGATGTGAAAAAGAGTCATAATTCACTTTTTTTAGTGCTGCTGTAACGCCAAATGGTCACTAAACGAATGGTTTTAGGTTGAAGACTACCTGTACTTTTTGAACTACTCCCACAAATTGAAGATGCCTGTAACACCCAGGAATTTATATGTTCAAAAATAAAAACAGAGTTAAGTACAATGATCCCAGCTGATATGTGGCATGGCTGTCATAACTATGCAAAAATGTTCCAAGGCTATTCCAACATTATTGCAAATATCTTTCACTTTAACTTCACGTTATACTAGGGAAAACCTCTGTACTGAGGAGACTATATATCACCTAATGAAGTGTATATGATCCACAAATACAATAACATATTGTTGACTGTACCAAGAAGAAAAACAACATCCAACCCAGTTATTTACTCTGCACAGTGAAGCCCACTGAATCTAACTCCAAGCTTTTCAGAGGTTCACAAGACTTTCTAAGTGTTAAAAACAGAGAAACATTTTGCAAACAATATGGGTATTATTCCAAGGGTGCTTTTTAAAAGGCAACTGGACTTTCCCTTGAAAACATTTTGCTTCTCATCCAAGAAGCTTCTTCATTTCTGACTAAATGGTGGGGAATGGAAGGATTTATATTCTTTGCAGTCACCCGAGTTGTTGAGACCACTTGGGGGTTTATCACCTTAATCAGAGTACAAATGGGTGTGGAACCTTCTTGGGATTGTTGAAAGGACTGTGTTTTAGACATGAGATAGGTGGTTGAGAGAGGGCTGTTCAATTTTAATATACAGATGGTCTCTTTGACCCCTCTTTCAAACAAGTGGCCCTTTCTGTCCAGAATGTGAAATCTGCTTTGTCTTTTAAATGCAGATGGATGCTGAATCTTGTCCTGATGGGTTTGTTCTCCTGTGTTGTGCCATGCATTTGTGAAGTGGTCGTTTTGTTTCCCAATCAATAGGTGTGTCAGACAACAAAGTTCACATTCTGGACAGAGGGTCATTGGTTTGAAAGAGGGGTCAAAGAGGCCATCTACGTTAAAATTGTACAGTCCTCTCTCAACAAAGGGTGATGAATAGGACACTACCTATCTCCTGTCCACAACACAGTCCTTTCAGCAGTATCAAGAAGGTTCCACATCCATTTGCACTCTGATTCAGGTGATCCTGAGGGTACAAATAAACTCCCAAGTGGCCTCAACAATCTTGGAGAGCAGTGGTAATGATTAGACTGCAAATAATATAAATTCAGTCAGAAGTTTCTTGGATGAGAAGCAAAACATTTTCAAGGAAAAAAAACTAGAAAGACCAGTTTTGAAAAACACCTTTGAGACAACCATGACCTGGATGATTAAGAATCTCCATTGACAATATGGAGATTAGGATATATCACTGGGATAACTGCAGATTCTTGAATAATTCTAGTCATACCTCTATAAGACAAAAGTCTACTAGACTAGTGGTCCCCAACTTTTGTGGTTTGGCGGCCCGGAAGGGGAAGAGGGGAACCGGGCCATGCAAGGTCGGCACGCATGCATAGGGAGCTCAAATGCAAATGCACCAGCCCGTGGCCCGATTGCGAATAGACCACAGCCCAGTAGTGGTCTGTGGTTCAGGATCCTTGCACTAGATAAGGAACGATTGCTGGAATTGGGTATGTCTAGTTTAATGAAGAGAAGGACAAGGTAGGACATGATAGCAGTGTTCCAATATCTCAGGGGCTGCCACAAAGAAGAGGGAGTCAAGCTATTTTCCAAAGCGCCTGAAGGCAGGACAAGAAGCAATGGATGGAAACTAACCAAAGAGAGAAGTAACCTAGAACTAAGGAGAAACTTCTTGACAGTAAGAACAATTAACCAGTGGAACAACCTGCCTCCAGAAGTGGTGAATGCTCCAACACTGGAAATTTTTAAGGAACTGGACAGCCATTTGGTATAGGGTTACTTGCCTGAGCAGGGGATTCGACCTGATGACCTCCAAGGTCCCTTCCAACTTTATTATTATTATTATATATGCCCCACCTGGGAGTTATTCTGCCTCTACAAACAGAAGAGGTATATCCTGCCTACCTTTACAGTATCCTTATCCATTTGGAAAGAAACATCTACCCTAAAAACCTCTGCATTATCCCAGCTTCTCTCTTATTTCTTAATGGGATAGTTGCAAAGTACTAAAACAGCAGAGGCAAGTCTCCCAGATTCTTATCTTATGTATTGCCCTACAGCTACTAAATAAAAGGCAGCATGTTTTGGATTTTGCCACCAGGTGGCTCTGATTAGAAGACTGTGACAAGAGAAAACCCATCATGATTCCGTAACTAACTGGACACCATCCAAAGGGTGGTGGTGGTGTCTTTTTCTCTTTCATACAGAAAATCTTTTTGTTTCAGTTCTGCTTCCAAGTTCTTTTTCTTTCATTTTAACCAGTAACCTTGAACATGTATCCTGGATGATCTCATTAGGTGATCTTTATCAAGTTTTTTTTTCTATCAGAAAAATAGGCAAGAATGCTTCAGTTAATAAAATAGATATAACTATAACTATATACCCTATATACCCTATAGTTTTTCACGTTGTGCAATTCTAATCAGCTGAATGAATCATGAATTCATTAGTTAATCATGGGTAAGCTTATCAGATCAATACAACCATAACAGCATGCTTGAAGAGCTGGTCCCAAGCATCTTAACACAGAAAACTGAAATACAGAACTAACTGCACTTAATCCCCATTTTCCTAGCTCCATGCCAAGCAGAAATTTCCCAGATCGCGGTTTTGTAGCATGGAAAAGAAACACGAATTGTTTTTTTTTACTGGAATGGAGATTTGATGCCGACCGAAGAACTGCATGAAACTAATCAGGCAGGTAGAACTCCAACCGGTGCTACTTTCACCATTAGTTTTAAAAGCAAAAATAGCAACCCTCGAAACGATTAAGTGTATGGTGGGTGGAAGGAAACAAAGAGTGCAAGTCCATCACTTTTTGAAGATTCCTACGAGCGACTCCGGGTCCCAAAATGTTAACAGCGAATTAAAGCACAATGAGGAGAGCTTAAGCACAAAGATTTGAAAAAGGCCCCTCGTCTACCAGGAAATTGCCTAAGCAGAGAGAAGTCGGCATGGAGGTGGGAATCGAACCTTGGGGAAAATTGAGTTTCTCTCTTTCTCGAAATAAGCTATACTTGCCCGCGTGGAACCCACGACGAACAGGCTCTCCTTCCCAGTCCTTTGGCTGCGTCTGCTCTCCGCAACGCTAAGTCGAAGGTAAAAGCGAAACTTAAACGGTCAGAAAACTTTACTCCCTGCGGCAACCCAGGAAGTGGCCGCGGAGAGACTTAAATTGATCATCCGCCTTCCCGGTCAGCCCAGCCAAGTCTTTATAGCGCCGCCTTTGGGCTGAGTGCGGAACAAGCGTTTGTTTTCACAATCCTCAGCTTGGCCAATGGCTTCGCCTTTTCCTTCTCCCTCCCTCCCTCCCTCCCAAGCAGCTGATTTTCAGTTTTCGCCGGCCCGATTTTTTCCCCTAGGAATAATTACTTTTTCGTCTCGTCATCAGCATGATCAATTCTGTCATCCTCATATCTCTGGAGAGGACCAAATTAAGGAAGGCGACATGCTTTTCTGGCGATAAAGTTTGAATTAGAAAACAAAGGGGAAAATCTAGCTAAATCTACTTCATACCTGCATCATTCACTATATCGTGCCACACTTTTTTATGCTTGCAAATAACTGGTATGTGCACCATGTCTGACCATCAATTTATATATTATCTTTCTTTAAAAAGTTCATTTTTCTTAACCTTGTCTTCCAATCTGGATTTACATATACCCTCAACCGTTTCCAAACTAGTTAATCTGCCTTTGATCTTTTTATCAAATAACTTCTAAAAAAGAAACAATAGGTAGTTTAAATTTGGCTTTGTGTTTCTTAATGTCTCAGTCTGAATTTACAGTGGTGGCCAAAATTGTGGAAACCTTTTGAGAAGTGTATTTTTGAGGTTTGATGGCTAATAACACCACTTTTTGGGAGTAGTGCCATAAAATTATATATCAATGGAAAGATAATTTAATTGAGAATGTAATGCAACATAGTTTATTCAGTTATCTGTACTGTATTCTATGAAAAGTTATAGCCAAATAACCAGAAAAAGGAAGCACAACTTGCTTAGCTTGATATCAGGTAACTTTCCTTCATTTGTTTTTAGCCAATGAGCATGAGTATTTAGAGAGCCAATCAGGTGTCATCTTGTTTTGGCAATGAACCAATCAGATCACAGTAGGAGGACATTTGTCAGTGTGTTATGAGATCGCTATCAAGTTGGTTAGGGTTTTTTTTCCTTTCATTTAGTGAACTTGTAAAAGGTAATAAAATTAAAGTAATGGTGCAAAGAGTTGACTGGTTGCCCAGAAAGCAATGTAAAATAGTATTATTAAGTGAACAAGGCTACAGTTATAAAGAAATTAGAAGAAAAATTGGTAGAAACTTAACAAAAGGTGGCATTTCTACTGTACACTTTTCCCAATAGGTTCCCACAATTTTGGCCACTACTGTAGATATTCTTTTTTTTGCTTAATAAAGCTTTTTGTGACTACAGAAACTTCTGATTATTATAGGTGTATCCAAGTTTAATTTGCATAGTTGTGTTCCTGCCTTCCTAATATTAATATGACAGGGATTTTGCAATTTTTAAAAATATTAATTATGGAAATTGAACATATACAACCAATGACAACATATATACAATATGCCCACCTATGTAAACAGCCAGCTGTCTGTTTGAAAGACATTATTTTCTATAGATTTCATGGCTGGTCTCAGTCAAATAGTTATGAGCTTTTGTGCGAGAGAACATGGCTTAACAGTTTTTCAGTGTCTTAATGTTTCACTGACAGCTGTGGCCTATTCAGAAGCAGGAAGAGCTGCATCATGGTGTATTTCTTAAGAACTCACAAATAGATTTAAAAAATTAATTTATAGATCTATAGCATAATCCTATACAGGTGTACTCAAGTATAACTTCCACTGAGTTCATCAGAACTTACTTCCAGATATTTGCATACACAATTGCAGTCCTGATATCAGAATACAAACTATATTGTTGGGCATTTTGATCTTTTGAAACATGAATAAACTTTAATAGTCACAGTTGTTTGAACATGAATAAACTTTAATAGTCACAGTTGTTTGATTCTTTCCAAAATCTGTATCTGTAGAGAAAACTCCAGATTTTGAAAATATGGAATTAGTTTGTTGTCCAGTTCTGGGCATTGCAGTGTCTCCAATCATTCAGAATCAATGTTAGACTAAGTGAAATACTGACTTCTGCATTTCTCACACAGATTCTGACCTACTTATATTATTAAATGAGTTTTTTAAAGAAAACTTTCAACTAATTTTCAGAGAAAGGCATTTCTTGCTAGCGTCTATAACATTTGCTGAAAGATACTAGAGAAAGGAAGCACATGGATCCTTCTTTCACCCAATTTAATTGTAGCACAAAGATGCCTTGATAACCATATTTAAAAGAAATGGACTCAGGATATCATCTCTGTGTATCTCTAGCTCACTGAAGAAGCAATCTATAGTTGTCTTTAGTTGTGTGGTGTTTTCCTTCTTTTCCTGACAAGCCTTGTCATCTGCTGTATCTATAATATTTTGAATCAGTGTTGGCAATGATTCAGTCAAGCACTGAAGTCTGTATAACCCCTATTGGTCATTTAAATTTGCTGGAGATACTTTTATATCCACTACTATATAAGCACTGTCCTCTATTACATTTTGGATTGTACAGGTGTAATGTCCAGCTAATGCCAAACAGAGACTTCAGAATGCTAATTAGACATTAGATTTACTCCTTATACCTGACTTTTATCAGTGTCAGCTGTACTTCAAAACACCAATATACCTGTTAACAAAATAAAAGAAAAAAGAAGATAGGTGGTTAATTAAATTGGAATTATGTTACATACTCAATGACTGTTAAATGTACAGAGAGAACAAGTTTTCTATTTGCCTTATTTCTTTGAGGGAGGGTGTTGTTATATAGACTATTCCAATGCTATGTTTATTTCTGGTTGCTGTCACATGTGGACCTTTATATTTAAGCAAAATTACCACACTTGCAAAACAAAAAGTTTGTTTGTTTTTTTTTGTTTTACACAGAAATGTTGATCTTCAGAAGATAGATGAATATTCCCATTTCAGAAATATATAAGTAAATCAGTAAATCAAATCTAGAGGTTGGTGAGCTATAGAAGTCTTACAGGGTAATGCAATACCTGTCAAAACTGACAGAATGGTGGTTCATTTTCATTTTCTTTTTATTCAGGAAACTAATCTTTGCACTACTATACCAATATTCCAGAATATCTATAATTCCTGTGTCAAACCCCCAAATCTCTCCCTCTCCCTCTCTCTCATTGACCGATCATCAGGGGATAAGAGGTATGTAGGATGATATAAGGACGAATCCTGTGATGTACCTGCAAGTTCTCAATCACTTGATCCATATTCACCTATCAGCCTGTATGCTGGAATATTTGTTTATTGATACTGGAATAACTGTACAGATAGTCCTTGACTTATAACAGTTCATTAAGTGACTGTTCAAAGTTAGAGCAGCACTGAAAAAAGGGAGTTATGACCATTTTTTACACTTATAGTCATTGCAGCATCTCAACGGCCACATGATCAAAATTCAAATGCTTGGCAATTGACTCATATTTAAGATGCTTGCAGTGTCTTGGGATCATGTGACCACCTTTTGCAACCTTCTTACAAGCAAAGTCAATGGGTAAACCAGATTCACTTAAAAACTGGGTTATTAACAATTGCAGTGACTCCACTTGGGAAGAAAAGTTGCAAAATGAAGCAACATTCACTTAACAAATGTCTTGCTTAGCAATAGAAATGTTGGACTCAGTTGTGGTGGTATGTTGAGGACCACCTGTATTCCTAAAGACAAATAGGTATTCACTAAGACAACTTGAAATATAGCTAAATCTTTCAGGCACTTCTGGAATCTCCAATCCCACCCTGTGCTATGTTTTATGAAAAACAATAGGTATTGTTGATTTTTTCCCCCCACCTGTGTAGGACATAGGGCAGGAAAAGAAAGAAAACCTGGGAATTAGTCTCTGCTCTGAAGGTGCTTTGCCCTTTTGTGCTTTAATAGACTCTTAGTTGATACATAATAATCTGAAGATGATGTGAAATATATTTAGAAGGCAAACCTGGGACTCTGACAAATGAGCATTAAACTCTATACTTTATATATTACCAATTAGATAGCTTTCATTTTCATATGACCATGATGCTTCTCTCTGACTTCACTCATCTATTTAGAGAAAGGCTTCATTGAATTCTTGCCTCCCTTTCCCTCTATGAACTCTTATCACAGTTGCCAAAATAACTTCTCTTAGTAAGTGACAGCTTTAAAAACCAGACAACAGCTGAGTGCAACTCAGAAGCACAGCACAAACAGACTGGAGTGTCTTTCCTAGGAAACAAGGCATTTTTATATATTTCTGGACTCTCAGATTTTTTAAAATTTTTGTATATAGTTTCAATATGAATATTCAGTCTTGTGCCAGGTGTGGCTATGGGGTCTATCCTGCTGAGAAGATTAATTGCATTGATCAGGTTAGTAATTAATTACTATTTGCCATTATTACTGTATAATTGTTCTGATATATTTGTCTATTTAGCAGCATTTGTTCAAATAAATAAAATATACTTATCCTAAAGTATAATAATCAATATAACTATTGGATGGCCAAGTTAGAATTGAACATCTGTTAAATTTGTTGCATTGCTTCTTTTTTTAAAGATTCAAAAGGAGAGATGATTTACACCATACATCATGTGTGTTTGATTGTTAGACTATCAGGAAAAATTAGTTATAAAATTTTAAACTAGATTTAGAAAATTCAAAAGACAAATAACTTTCATCCACTTCTATCTGCTTTTCTAGATCTGGCATAAAGCCTGCTTTCACTGTGAAGTTTGCAAGATGATGCTAACTGTAAATAATTTTATTAGCCACCAGAAAAGGCCATACTGTCAAGTGTAAGTGTGTACATTTTGTTTTATAATATGACCCTATTATGTGCATGAAATTGAACTAAATTCTGATACTGTTGAAAATTTGTTCAAATGATTTTCAGATATACTGGTTTACTCAGATGATAAAGTGCATGGAGTAAACAAAAACTGTTCATGGCATTTAAAATAATAAGTACAATATATTATGCATTAAATCTAAGTACAATTGAAGATATGTTAATTTAAAAGAGTAAGATAGAAAGCAAAATACCTGATTATACTTGTATCCAGAGGATGCTCAGTAACTCTTTACTAGTACCA